TTCGCTCGCGCGCAGAATACTTTAGTATATGTTATTGCGACGCGTTACTCGCTGACGCTCGTAACCCTTTCGCAATAAAAGATTCCTTAAAGTTCATTGGATTGGTTCCATGGGAGTGTCAGAAGTCGGCAATGGAATATGAAGTTCGGCAGCATATTGTGTAAAGAATTCTTTTACACTGTCATGCTTAGTGTTCAGAATAATGTTAGCTACCCGCTTGGCGAACAGAGCTTTGACTTCGTCCAACTTATCGGTGGGGAAGTTAGGTTCCAGCGGTTTAGATGGTCGGCTTCAATGATCTGAAAGCGGAACAATTTGCATTTCGCTAAGAAAGATGTGGTGTAATCTTCTTGGATAACAAATTCGACGCAATTTTGCGCGATGTAACTAATATTGACGATCTTGGTCAGCATGAAGTGGAGAGAGAACAGTCGGGATTTGAGATCTTTATAGCTGGTTCTAGGTATTCCGTTGACGTAGATACGTCTGAGGCTAAGACGTTGCTCAGTGGAGCTGTTGTGAGGGACACGCTTCTGGTGAAAGAAAGCGAGGGCACTCTTAGCATCTGCTGTGTCCGCTGTGGGCTTGTTAGCAATCAGTTTCTGTGCGATGGCCGAGTAGCTCTGCTTTGGTCGTGCAGTGTGGGCCGAAGGTTTCTTAGTCATAGAGGCGTATGTGGAAGCATTTGTCTAAGCGTTGGTGGAAGATTGCGGAAGGTGCTGAGCATTCCAGGGCCCGGGATGTTTAGCAATGTTACTGTGTGGGTGTACGTCAGTCATAGTAACGTTCGTATCAGTATCGTTAGTAACGTTAGTAATTTGCATGTCATCGGTGGGAACGTCAGTTGACGGTGGAACAGCGTGTTTCGACATCAAAATGTTTCTATGAGCTTGTGCTTTCGCTTGGGCTGGCGCTTTAGGCAGAAGCTGTTGGTAATTGTGGTTCATGGCCGAGAAGTCTTTGGTTAAGTTATCGATGGACTGTTGCAGAGCAATTATCTGATTAGCTTGCTTGTCCATCTTTGCCAGTTGCAGTTCGTTCGTTTTTTGAAGTTCAGAGAGTTTGAAGGCAAGGTCAGCGTTTTGACGTCGTAACTCTTCTTCTCTTTTTGGAGAGTATCCATTGAGGTGGAGACGGGAGTAGGAGCGACAGCAGTAGGGGATGGACGTTGAGAAACCTTGCGGACAGACGCTGCACGATCATTGTCAGAATAAAAGGGTGAAGCAGCCCGTTTGAGACTGACCTGTGAATCTGAAAAGGAATGAGATTTGGTGCGAGAAGAGCCTAGAAAGTTACGGACCATGTTGCCAAGGCGGGACGTAAGATTTGTCTGTGCTTTAGCCTTGCCTTTGGAAGACTTAGCAGCAACAGGGTCGACATTGTCGGCTGAGCGGTACGAATTAACGGGGTACGAGGAGGAAACGGACATGGCTGGTTCAAACCATTCTTCATGACTCGGAGCAGCAGACGCAATAGCTTGAAAACGGGATTGGTGGTTTGAGGATTCTCGCAGAGGTGAGCGAGATGAAACGGTTTCGCTGGATAGAGATTGGTTAGCCGCAAGGACGGCTTCACGGGCACGTCTTTGCTTTTGTTTGCTTAGGCTAGGAGCTTGCGCTGGACATTAACGGAACCAACGGCAACATAGCGATACTTGGGAGTGGGATGAAAATCTTTAGCGTCGGATAGAGTGATATCTTCGTTTTCGACGAGGAAGTGAGTAGGGGCTTGCTGGGAAGCACGAACGCGGTATTTTTTTTTGCGTTTTATGAATTTTTTGAGTGGGGACTTGTCGTCCGCCATCGCTATTGCCATCAGATGGAGAGGTTGATCGTTGAATTGTCTGCGCGCATTCCAGAATCTCTCTCCATCTTATTCACAGCATCTTCATGCATTCTGCTTGCGAGATCGGAGAGGTTCATTCTTGAATTTTGTCTGCGCGCATTCCAGAATCTGACTCCATCTTAATCAAAGCATCTTCATGCATTCAGATTCTAATATGGGAGATGTTGATCGTTGAATTCTATCTGCGCGCATTCCAGAATGTCCCACCATCTTAATCACAGCATCTTCACGCATTGTGATTGCAAGATCGGAGAGGTTGATCTTTACATTTCAATCCTAACGTCCCTCTCGCGCTATGTCTCTCGCTAAAAGTTTTCTTAAATGCTATCAGGCCCAGCAAATTTGACGACAGCGGGCTTCAAAATATCAATCAGAACCTCCGGTTCATTGAGAATGCCATGAATGTCGTTCTACAATCCACCTTTACCCAACTCCATTCCGTTCATTTCCACCTCCAGTCCATTTCTACACCATTTTACTTTCTTATGTCATATTCTCTCACCATTTCATAATCGGCATCGCCAGATACAAATGATTTAAACTCGACTACTCCTATGCGGCATCAACTCAACCAATCTATTTGTCCTTCTCAGTGATAGCTCATTTGAGCGCCAGGATTACGTAAATTGATTTTCAGGTATGGATGATAAAATTGACCTTAGTAGCGAGCATTAATGTTCATTTTCTCCTGTAAATGCCTAAGTTATATAGACTCAAACTCGCTCTGCGACATCTACGCGCTCTCCAGTATACGGCTGTGACCATGGATTGCCGATTTGAGCATTTGGTGTAATAGGTACAGAGAGGTACATGCCGTTTGTTTTTATGACAAAAATACGTTCATTTCCATTAAAGGCATCTTCCTCAAAGGCAATTGGACTATAGTGAGCTGCTTGATGTCGACTGCAAAGAGATACTGTACTTTATGCTCGCATACAACAAATAAAATTCAAAATACAGGCTAAAGGTGCTCGTTTATGAAAAATGAAGGCACTTATCCTTAGAACCATATCCGCTATGAAGAGTGTCAACGCCTAGCAAATTAGAGAAACATACCTCATATTGTCAATGGTTTCGACGAATTATCGTTCAGAAATACAAATTTACAGACAGTAATGTAAGAAACATTTTCAAGGTTGGCTCATTGTGTCCAGTATGCAAAATGTAAACACCAAAACATAAAATCGAAATTACATAAGTCAGCTAACATTGGTAAATGAAATATCGACTTTGTACACGAATTTTCTCTACCCTTACACCAGATCAACATATATTATAGAAAACAAGGTAAGACTGCGAACAGGTTGCTTTGATCACTGTTATCAACCATAAGGACTTCTCAGCATTACATAAGCACTTGGTCAAGAGGGGAAGGCAAACCTACGTTGAGCAGCTGGAAATATTACCTTTGGCAAGAATTACTGATCGATTTATAAAATTGCAAAAGGAGAGAGTAGAAAGTTGAAAGAGACATCAGACTTAATTTCACTACGAGCTGCGTTTTCATTGATGAAGCAGAGATTAATTTGTATATTCAAAGGCACCTTGGCACTTATTTAGGTAAACCCTCCCCCAAAGGCAAAGCGCCAAAACGATGGTATTTTTCAGCAAATTGGAATGGGTACCTCACCAGAAGCAAGAGTCATAGACATGTCATTGAAAAAAGCTACAGGCTGTTGTATCGTCTAATAAGAGGATAGTGGCTGGTTGGTTGATGTATGACGTTAACGGCAGATTTGGCATGCGTACAGATTACTAACTAACATATTGTGCAATACTATGGGTGTGTTGAATAAAAACAACACCAACGGCTATTATCTGATAACGGACAATGCCCCATCCATGCTCCAATTGCAGTTCGAGATTTAGTTCAGGCTAGAGGTCATAAATGTCTATGCTTAACTATCAATTCCCCGTTCTTGAATCCTGTTGAAGAATTTGTTCAAAAGTGAGGGCTGATATAATGCCAAACATGATGACTGAGGGAGAACGACTGAGTGGTCACCGACAACTCTGATCCTACGGACAGAATGCAAAAAGATGCAGTGATTAAGGTGATGGTGACATGTAGAATAACACCAGAGGCCTCAGTAACTTTTCAAAATCAGGCTGTTATTTAAGTCTACTATATGTAGTCTGCCTGTCTGGGTCGTGGGTTCTCCTCTAAGTATTAAAGTATACACAAAATTAAGCACCTTAAAGAAATGAACATATGCTCTGCTAATCCATAAGTAGTGTTCCACATCTGTGGAATAGGCTAAAGCCCGAATTGAAATGCAGCAGTATGATGCTGTTGCCAATGAAAAAGGTACTAGAGGCAGAGAACATGTAACAATAAAGGATTTTTAGTCTCTTTGGTCCTAAAAATTAGTCTTAAGTCCAACGGACTACAGCCTCCAGCTATAAGTGCTTTTTCATCTTTTCCTTTTATTTTCTAGCGTAATTCAGAGTAAATTTTTCTATATAAACCCATCAATAATAAAATACATGTACTTCATTCATGCGAGCTACGCAAGGGAGGGAAGGGAAGGGAAAGTCATAGCTGGATGTTGTTAAGTCCTCGGACAAGACTTATAATTGTTTAATCCAATGCACATCGTAGTATAAGGAAACCAACCCAAACGAAATATTATTTCGTTTTAGATTTTTGGAACATTAATGTTAACAAACGTGGCCACTTGAAGATCACTGTAAAGTTCTTATGCATTGGTTCCAAGCCAATGGTACTGATCAAATGTTGTTCTATTGTTGGTGCTTTTCTAATTCCTACAGCCTCCTCACCCTTTTTTAAGGAGGTTATGCCATGGCTAATTGCGTTCTCCTCTTTGGACATGTTGGCACTTGCCATATTGACGTTGAGTTTGAACCCCTTATTCGGCCCTAAATAACACATTGACATGCTTCCCTTCAGGTTTCTCTTTCCTTCTTCTCTTATGAGCTTTCTCTTCCTTCGATCCCTCTTTTAAGACTTTTAGATGCATATTTTATTTTTCTTTACCTTTATAATACTCCCAGGTCTCATTTATCAAGAGGCTTGATCACTCCTCTCTTTTGTCTTAAAAAAACGTTGCACTAGCTGACGTTCTTTTCAATCTGTACAATAAAAGGGGTTTATTAAGCTAGAAAAATATAATTCAACTGACAATAAATACAGCGTTTTGAACAAAAAAAAAGGAATTGAACAAGACTGGACAGACGATGTAATTCCGTGATAACCTTTCGAGATATCTAACATTTGCCAAGTTCATGAATCCAGATTGTTCGCTGTAAATCTAAAGGAACTGATAGATGTATTCCATTGGTTTGAAAGATCACAACGATTGCTCTCTACATGTTCTCTAAATAGCTAAATTTGTGTTATAATTCATTATATCTTAGCTTCGATCAATATATCAAACTTCATGTTGAAATATTGTCTTTCTTCTCGCTTTCTGTAAGTTCATAACGAAGTTCGTTGGTCAATTGGTTCATTGACTCAAATATCATTCCGGAGTGGAGAAAGCTCATAGTTTTACTCGAACAAATGAAAGCAATTTCTGATCCATTTATTGATAGAAAAGTATGCTCTCTGATCTCTTTTGTAACAGCAAAGGAGTATACGCCACGACCAAGAAACCTTTTGCTCACTTAAAACCCGATTACTTTCGATAAGTATGAGACAGTTGACTCTTCAGTAATTTATCACAGGTTCTAGTACTCGAGTAAATGAAACAGGTTATATGCAAATCTCTATCACACATTGATACCAATCAATTAGCTTGTAGGTATGTCAACACTGCAAACTGTCTAACATAGTGCAAATTATGCTTGTAAAAGCTAGGTACATATGGCACAGTACGATGCAATCTAACTCTGTTTTCCTTAATTGCTTTGATTCCCATACTCCATCTCATTGGTTTGCTTGATCAACTCCCATTTTTTTATGACACGCCATAGAGATAAGTACGTACTTCCATAGAAGCATTCATGCCATTGCTATCAGGATTATACGTCGGCGAGTTAGCTTGTCGTCCTATATTTAGCAGCCTATCTAAAGCACAAGCTAGTGTAGTCATCGCAGTGAAGCGAAAAACTATCGTTGGTGCAACTGTGTTCTCCCAATTGGTTCCAATCATTTCGCAGTGTATACTCCTAAAATAAATAATGAGGCTTGCATTTTCTTTTGAAAATAATCGTGAAGCAGGTGCCACTGGTTTTTTTTGGTACAGTGTTTACGGACATTTTCGCAAACACCTCCTCCATAGGGATAAGATGGTTGTTCAACAGCCCTTATTCAAGGATTGAGGAAATTGTCAGTAGCAAGATTTTATCATATTGTATGAAGTACCATATAATTCTTCGTTTCATACGTGGGAAGCACCAAAATGGAAAAATGTATTAATTGCCTCATGCATTCATCAAATATGGTTCCATGAATTTACTTTAATGCTATCTGCCATAGCATTTCATGTCAAAGCGAGAGTTAGACCTTTCGCTGCCATGATGAGCGAGAAAAAAGGTAAGTAGAAGATGTCTTGGCCGATTGAAAAAAAAAATATATGATCGATTCTTTGCATGTTAAGATTGAACTTTAATGAAACCAAGCTAACTTATAATTACTCTTATTTACCATAGAAGGTATAAAACGCTTGGAAAATAGTAATGATCGACCAAATAGAAGACATCGAAGAGGTACCTGCATGTTTAACCCTTAGATTTGATCGATGTTGAGTATCATTTGATACTTGAGTATCATCAATCTAAAGTTATTTTTCACGCAACCTTGTTTTCAGGTCATATGTATAAAAGCTCGATCTTAAATGTCAAATTTTTTCAGCACGCGCTTCATTACTCCAAGATACTCTCAAAATGCGCTCAGCCATTCCCATTCTAATTTGCTGCTTGTATGCACTTAGCGCTGTCGACGCCACACCCTTTCCAAATGGAGGAAATGCCGAAGTTCAGCAAGGTATAGTCAAGGCTGCAGAACCTCAACAACTTTGGACCGAAGACAAGAGTGACGTCGATTATAATGATGAGGACGAGGATGGAAAAGGTGGCAATGGTGGCCACAACGGCGATGAATGTGCTACCCGTTTGGTTTCCATCTTAATTGGATCTAGCACCTTAGCCATTCCCTGCTTGGGAACCGGTTCTATAGTGAATCTTAACGGTCTTCTTGCCGGTGCCCTTCCTTCACTTTTCCCTTCTCCATCCCCTTCTTCTTCTTTTGCTAGCTCCTCTGCTGTTTCAAGCCCTGCTTTTTCCAGCTCTGATGTTTCCAGCTCTGATGTTTCTAGCTCTGATGTTTCCAGCTCTGATACTTCTACCACCTCTGACACTACTACTACTACGACTACGACTACGACTACGACTACCGATGATGTTGGCGGCCCTCCCACCACTACTACCACTACCGATACTACCACTACTACCACTACCGAACCTACCACTACTGAACCTACCACTACCACTACTACCACTACTACCACTACTGAACCTACCACTACCACTACTACCACTACTGAACCTACCACTACCACTACTACCACTACCACTACCACTACTCATACTGAACCTTCTCATACCGAACCTTCCCATACCACTACCCATACCGAACCTTCCCATACCACTACTCAAACCGAACCTTCCCATACTACCCATAGCACCCCTCACGGAGAGGCATAGATGATATCAGATAATTTTCGCGTACTTTATTTGTTGAAGCTTTGCTTCAAAGCGAATGCTCAAGTTGATCTTCTCTTGTCTACATTCCCTTTTGCCTACTGGATGATGATGTAATGATGTTAATAAATGAATGTAACGAAGTCAAAACGTGGACTGAGACTTAATTGACACTATCTTCAATACAAGTGGATTATTTTCTGAAAGTTTATAGTGGATGAGGTTACTCACCTGGATATGTTGGGCATTCGCATGCCAATGTTCCACAAGTACAATGGAGCTTTCGACACTGGTGGCATACTCTATTTTCATACTATTAAAAAATATATTGATGCAGCTCTATACAGTATTCAGACTATCATGTATCCCAAAGTTAACAATACACATAACTATAAATTCTCTATCGGTATTCTTATGCCAATTTGAATTCAGGTTTGATCAGCGTGACTTTCTGCAGGTTTACACAGGTTGTGTCGATTAAGCGATTTTGTTCAACTTTCGTGATTCTAAATCTACTATCAGAGCGCTCATAGTATACCGCCCAAACGTTGGATTTATCGGTGTAAAAGTCATAACCCATGTCCATGCATGTCTCTGCCGGTACAGGAAGATGGATAGACAGTGTGCCTTTACTATTTCTGGAAGCGTAGGAAACGCCATTGCTGTTTAAATTATTGTCTCGACTTTGGGTTAATATAGCTTGGAGCACCCTGTGATCCAGTTTTGCTAATCTATTACTGGCGTTGATTGCGGTAACATGTACGTCCAAAGTCCTTGCGCCTATAACAAATGATGCATACTCATTAGTGAGGACGTAGTTTCCATCACTTGCAATGGCTAAATCATAAACCGTCTGTTGTGAAGTTTTGTTGCCGAGTTTGAGTGCTTTTGAAAGTTTTTCGACCTCTGGCAAACTGGTATATCCAATTTTGTGGACAATATCAGAGACGTTGGGTGACGACCTGTACCCATTTTTGCAGTACTTCAGCATTTCGGTTAGCTCGTTCACCGAGCTTAGCATGTAAGTACCAGGTAAGCATAAAAGAATGACTCTAGCTAACGTGGTCCTGTATGCAATGTTGTTTTTGTGATGAGTCCTCCAGTTGTGCAACAGCTTGCCTATCAAGTCCGCCGTAGCGCCAGAGTGATCTGATGTTTGCACCGAAATCTTGTAAAGATACATTGTGAATTCTTTACCGAGATTTAGAAGGTTTCTCACCCTAAAATCCTGCAATTATTCGGCTCAACGAAACCGATGGGAGAGATGGGTGAGAGTGAGATTATGCCTTCTGTGGCAAGGCTGAGGAAACTCCGATTTTCCAAACCTCTCAGCGAGCATCCACTTGAAGAAGCCAATAGAAGACATCAATCATAGGTGTTGACTTTTAGCAACAGTGTGCATATCATTTATGAGACTCATTTCTTTATAATGTATGCATAAATGCATAGTTGTACTTGCTTCTATAAGATCATATTACAGTATCAGTGCCCGGCCTAGTAATTTTTATAATAGGTACAATAGACTCGCGATCTCTGCAGTCGCTATATCCGCTTTCTTCCAAATACTGTATGGATTACTTGTAAATTGATCATATTGCAGCATTCCATAAATTACCAACTCATCATGGCACATGTTACGATACCTCATACATTGAATCTTGAAAACTTCAGTTTTTGAAGATAATCCTAGAATGACACTCCAAAACATGCTTTGACAAGCTCAGTCCGACTTTTCTGCATAATCCCTTAACATTACTAATCTAAACGTCAAATTCGTGTGATTTATTGCGGTAATTCTTTTTTTTATCTATTGTCTAGCATCCTCCGGAACTACTACGACTGAAGGTCGTGTGTAGTATTTGGTGTTATTGTAGACTGACTCGCCGACCTTCCAGTCCTTGACGTCCTTCATAATTTCAGCCTCACGGTTGAGTGCTGCTTGTTGTCGTCGAAAAGCATCTCGATCTGATTCAGCTGTAAGCAATGGTATGAGGTGAATTCTGGACCAAAGGTTTTCACGCTTGAGTTCTCTGCAAAGGATTTCGTAATAGTGGTGAAAGATGGTTGTAGATGAGTGAGAGTAAACAGTGTTAGAAACAATATGTTGACACGGCATTAAGTTAATTAGAAGCTACGCGGTTGAAGCAATTATTTGATGTTGTTACCTTCTTTCCAAGTTTCCTTGAGCAACTCTATAGAACCCGAATGCGCAAACTGCAGTGATGCCGGCGAAAATGACTAATCCAGAAGGTCCTCTCTTTGGAAGGTATCGTCGATACTTGACTTCTGAGTATCCACCAGGAGGTGGGAGATCCTGTGTCGCTGGTGTAGACATTAGAGGCTGGTGACTGAAGCTTTGAAGCAACTCCAAGTTGTTTGCCATACGATCCCTAAATTTTGATGACATCGTAAAAAATCACGTGCATTGACTTTCATAGTGCTTTCTGTGCGGTCGGACTTTTTGAAGATCTTTGATATGGCACGCTTATACTCGCGAAGTACAGTAAAGAAGATAATCAAAGCCCACAATCCACGCTCATCCTTAAGTAAAAGCGTGGATGTCATGGTAACTGATTTTAATATACCATTTACCGCATGGTACCTTATTAAATAAACCTTTACAGATTTACTTGGACTATCTTCTCTTCTTGCAGCGACTGGCGCGTGAAGCCGACGCGGAAGTAATGCAAACCAAAGGGAAACTAATGCAATCACATCACCTCCAAAAAGCTGTAGAGGTACAGTAGCAATTTTAACAGTAATCCTTCTGTCACCACTGCAAACTAATGCTTGCTCTGTAGCAAACACTGCAACAGTTTCGAGGATAATCCACACTAATGCCTCTTGTACATGACAACGATGCTTGCAGGCGTAGCATCCATATCAGTTTTCCAATCAATTCAACGCGAATTAAAGTAACTATTATCAATATTATATAATGATCTGGCACCAAGGATGCCAATGGCAGAGGAAATGACAATTTGTACAATGGCTCTACGTAAAGTCTCATCGATGGTTGCGAAATTATATGCTATGATGATAAGCCTTGACGATGCCGTCAGCTCCACCGCTAACAAGCCATGGCAATTCCTTGTGGAACTGGACACTTAAGACACCTTCATCTGCTTTTCGACGATGCGCAGTGTATTCCTGTACGCATGATCTGGAAGTACTTGAAATGTCCCATAATCTGATTGATCCATCATGGCCGCCAGACACTAAAGTGATACCGCTGGGGTCGATATCAAGCGCAGTTACTCCATCCAAATGGGCAGACATTGTGAATACCGAATTTCCTGCGATTTGATTGCGTCAACTAATCTGCTAAAATGCTAAGATATGGCTGCTGTTCTCAACTCATACTATACCTGTATTAATGTCATAAAACTTGATCAGCTTATTTTCGTGTCCAGTTATTAGAAGCGGCAATGTAGGGTGCGAAACTATTTTGTTTATCTGTGTGAGGCAAGAATTATCTGTTTTCAAAGGGTAAGTAAGTTGTCTTATACGCCTTCAATCATACAAATACGTGCCTGCCGATGGATCGGCTGGTATTGTAAGGACAATTTGACCAGTTTCAACATCAAACACCTTGACCTCCGTGTTTCTGTAAGCCACAGCAAGCTGTCGCAAGTTAGTATGGCAGATGTCAAGGGACGTCGGGACCGGAAGATTTCCTGTATAATTTGTTAGTATCTACTTCATGTAGTCATATATAGTAATTTGAACTTACTTTGCTCATCCTGATGTTCATCAATCACACCGTTATATGACCATGAACTCTTGAGAAGGTTTCCACTCGCACTAGTGTCCCATATCTTAACGGTTCCATCAGCGGATGCGGATGCCAGTGGCAGGTAGTCAGCAATGGCGGTGGGAAACAACTTGAAGTCCCAGATAGCATCAGTGTGACCAATGTATGGTGCTATATTTAAAGCAGAGTCTACAAAATTGAAGACAGATATCAAACATAGCCGCTGCGTTATATTCTTCAGAAACAAGAATCTTACCATATGGAGAATATGGGGATTTATCTGCGGGAGGAAGTTGCCAAACTCTGATGGTGGAATCCAAACTAGAAGAGTACAGACGCCCTTGTTCTGCTGAGATCTCAACTTTGGTTACGCCCATGGTATGGCCGCGATAAGTTATTATAGGATCCATCTCCTCATGCGAACTTCTAGCCAATCTCGTCAGTTGGAATTATAGGCCAAAAGACCCAAAATATGAAGGCTAAGCACTTACTTTTTCTGCATAACTGAGTCTTTTACAATGGAGTTTTTAAGGTCCCATATTTTTATGGTACCGTCATCAGAGCCTGAAGCAATCAAGAGTTCATTGGCATGGAAGCTAACGGATCGAACACAATCAAGATGTCTGTCGCGTCGCACGACTGTCAGCCTTAAAGTACATTTAAGCGAGTAAAACGGTCTCATGTGGTACTTACCCACGGAGGTTGTGTTTAGCTCTCCACATTTTTGGTCTACTCTCAGAATCTGCATCCTCAACCTGATCCATGGACGTGTTAGAGTAATAAACTCAGCAAATATTTATGCAAACAACTTACTTCAACCTCAGCCTCGCTTGGTAGCTTGAGATTGTCCACTTTTCCAAGAAGACTGTCTTTTGAAGACATTGGTATATTGTTCTCTTCTGCGAAAGAAAGTATTAGAATTATATGTGTTAGAACATAATCAGGATACCACTTACGGTGGATTAATCTTTCTGCATTTTTGAGCAGTTTTCGAACTTTGTCTGCACTCAAACTATACTTTTCTTGCACATCCTTCGTCTATTACTTCCATCAGTACCTTTCTAATACCCTACATTCAAATACGCAAAATACCTACCAATTGCTCTTCTTCAGATAGTCCCTTTCGTGATCCGCTGCCTGGGTTGGATTGATCACGCTGTTTTCGTTCCTTTGCAATGTTGATTACATTGTTTATCATAGCAACTTCATCAACGTTGTCTGGAACCTCTACATCAGAGATAGTTGAAGGAATGTCATTGTCTTTATCTACTTTTTGCTGTTGCCCACTCTCGATCTTCCCATCTTGTAGTAAGGAAGTGTTATGTTGGGGTATAAACGTTGACATACTGTCGTCTGGTTGTTTTGGGGTCTGTCGTCTAGCTGCCGCTTTGTTTTCCTCACTTGGATCTTTCAATGTAGAGATGGATTCTGTGTCGTGTTGCACATCTTGGGAGGCTTGAGAGGTAATTTTCGAATATTGGTTCTGCAAGCCTGACGTAAATGCTGTTGTGTATGGTAGCTTGGAGGTTGACAAAGCTAACTGATTGATCTCCTTTAGGCAGCTTTGTGAAATGAATTAGTGTCAGCTCACTCTTCTGAACATAGTGAATATCCCTCTCGGTGACTTACGATTTCAATAACTCTCTGCTACGAGTTTTGGCCTTATCATCTATTTGCGAAGCGACGAATGCAGCAGGTAATTTGTCTTGCGATTCCAATTTAACACTTGCATCTTGTGAGTCCCTTAAAGAAGAAAGATTGGGAGACGATGCTAGCAAATAATGCTCAGTAACATGTTCAAGTAGCACACTCATTCATCCTTATACTACGTACGCGGGTTTGGTGAATCAACTGTACGTGTAAACTCTTCTTGCTGTTGTATAGTACGAGCCTTAGGATTGTTCATATACTTCTTCCTATATATCTTGGTTAACGGAGGAAAATGGTATACCAACGAATTAGTTAGGTTTGCGTACCTTTCCTGTCGTAGCGCATATTCCAACATTTTCACTCGTTTCATCAGATCCAGCTTGAGGTTAGCAAAACCTCGTCTTTCACCTTCAAGTAATGCAATTCGAGCCTATACCAATCGTTCAAGAGTGATATATAGGTTAAGTATAATACTGCTTTCTTTATGGTCGCTTGAGTCGCCGATTTGCTATAATTATGAGAGGCACGTCTCTGCATAATCATCGACTTCACTAGTGGTACCCACATCGTTTGATATAAAATCTAATAGCCAGATAACTCACCTTATATTCTGCTTTTTCTATTTCCCATTCGTTTCTTTCACGTTCGAATCGTCTCCATTCTTGTTGTAGAAAATGTAAAACACCTGGCAAAGTATATTCTGGTGACTGAATTGCCAACGAAAAGTTGGAGGGAATATTGGCATCTTTCATAACGTTGTCCCTCCCATTCAGTAATCGCTGCTGACTCGATTGTGGCGTTTGTTGCATCATATGTCAAGTTGACAGTTTAGTTGAAGATGGTTGATTCCTGATCGTGCGATCAAGCAAAACCCGAGCTCTGAGTTTGGCAAAGCACCTGAACTTGGCTCTCCCGACTCCCAATGTCAAAGTCCGACGTCACTCATGAAGTCCACATTTGAACATACCCAAAACATATCTCAAACATGATGAGTGAATATAAAGGAGATACTTTGCGTGTATATATTATGATAGTTTTTCTTAAGCTTCGGTGACTCAAATGCCGTATTGGAAAATCCACATGTTCTTTAATTGTCAATAGACTGGAAAGTCTCAAGGGTATATCCTGCCGCGTCTACAAGCAAAATTTACAAATATCATAAATTTTATCATAGTGATGCCAATCTATCAATGTGCATTTGATATGCGTCAGGTTCAGTACTGACTTGCTGAGCGTCTCTGATCGCCTCCATTAGCCTTGTTGAATTTAGACTATAAAGAGCGTCCAGACAATCTATAAAAGCAGTCTGATATTTCAAGTTTGATAAGTAATAGCACCGAGTGCAGTAGAAAAGAGAACAAAATATTACCTTCAATTGCCTGTCAGAAGACTCATCTACATATTCTATTTGGGATACTAAAGCATCGATTATTACATAAATTCCTTCATTGGAAATAGTGTTGAATATTGCTGACAGCTGATTGTAAAGTGAAAGGCACACAGTTTGTTTTTGGTCCTTCAATCGCGATAATAGGTTGTGAAGGCAATGCTTTTCAAGTTCGGCGCTAAACTTGCCATCCATTTTGTTGTGTTGCTTTATGAATGCTGTCATTGCCGAAACTGATAATACCCTGGTCTGTTCATCTTCGTCTTGAAGACATTTGGTTATAATATCCAGGATAAAACCTTGTTGATCGTCACCTGGCGTTATACTTTGCGTTTCCAGAGCAGTCGTCAGACAGACAATCGCTTGCCTCCTCAATTGATGTTGAATGTTGAGAGCGCAGGAGCCATTCTGCGGCTCTGATGAAACAATGCACAATGCTATCATTTCCTTTAAAATGATACACGACTGTTCTTTGATATATAACGTGTCTTTATCCATATTGTACAGCCAAGTCATAACGGCCAAACATCTATAAATCAGGCTTTAGAATTGTATTCATTAAATAGAGCGAGCAACCAAAAATACCTTAATCTTGCGCCTATGACAGAGCTGTCAGTATCTCGTCCATTTTTACCATCAGGTTGTTGAGATCCGCATTTGACGAGTACGTTGACTATTTTATTCACAGTATCGCTGCTTTCAATGACTTTGTGTCTGCTTTCCATAATAATAACTTCCAGCATTCGCAAAGATATGGATTCGTCATTCCATTTTTCAGGTGCGTTTCCACGAGGTTTGGCAATGGTTTCGAGAAAGTATGGCAGGTACTGGACAAAAACATCCTCTGGTTTCTGAGATGTACCGTGAAGCATCATGACAGTTTTGACTAATTTTTCCTTCGTATTGACGGAATCAATAATAGTCACCTTGTCTTGCTGAACACCCATCGCTATGTCTTTTCCTGACATGGAGCATAATGCCATCAGCTGTAAAGCTACCAAAACAATTTTGTACCGGTTTTCCTCGCTTAATGGCTCATGCGTTGTCTCTATACAGTGAAGTATTGCACAGTCCAATATATTGGCAGCACTTTCCATGTACCGTTCTTCATTCAGCAGTATCTTTGACAACGTTGGGCTTTTCAAAAGATCCAGAATTCTTGATAATTCATGTAAGCTTATTGCATCTCTCGCTGCGCAGTCTATAAATCGGTCTAGCAGCCATATAGCAGTGGAAGGATTCATACGTGTATCAGCTTCGAGTGTGTTCGAAATCTGTGGAATTAATATGTCGAGATAGAAAGATGACTTTGGAATCTTTTTTGAAGTAACATCAATTGCATCTGCGAGCTGACAAGGAATGCATCATTAGTCGCCAATAATGTTCATTTAAAGCTTTTCTTCTAATCTTTAGTATACATACTTGATTCAGTATTCCTTTCGAATGAACTTCGAGCTCCCGCACGGTCGCAAGCGTTGAAACAATAAACTTCAATTGCATTATTATGTCCTCTTGCAAAGGAAACTTTAGCAAAATTTGTAGAGCACTTAATGAAAGTGTTCGCTGTTGATTGAAGGGAATACACAAGACGTGTGAAATGGAATGAAGGGATCTCTTGAAGGTATGATGTATAAGATTTGTGAGGCCTATTGAAAACTTGAAAATGAGATAATGTACGCAATAATGTATAGAACAAGAAATAAGCTGTATCTTACCAACTGAGGTAGTCTCATTTATGTTACTCGTGGCTGCTAAAATGCCAGCATCTTGCATATCTTTGATACATACATGATCAACGTCGCCAAGCCCTTTCTCACCACACTGCCGTACTGTCGGAATGTCATCAACAGCTGCTGTCAGTAATAGCGGAAGAAGTGCATCCGCGAACTTGTATCGATCTATTGGCGAACAAGTGGTGAGCCATGTGGTATTGCAGCGCGCCAATGCTTCTCTCACGACGGGAGAATTGTCATAGGATAAGGTCTCCATTATGGATTTATCGTGGTCCTCGGTCACTTCCACCAACGGTTTTAGACCAACGAAGTTGGTCACCACCAAACGTTCCACGACCTTGAATAGTGAATAAACTAAATCATCAGATTTAAATTTAAAAAATTGCATTGACTGATTTTTATTTCTTACCTGGATACCCAAGGTGCGAAGGATAGCATGTTTATGTCGTAAAATGGGGGTTACTGCTTTCGTGATCTTGTCACCAAAGTATCCAATATAGCTTGACTTTCTCTCCGTTATCGTCAGTAGCACGCAGCATGCTTCCTTTTGTACATCGGGAAACTTGTCCTTGATACAACCTTGAACAACTTGTACTATATCATCCGCTATAGCCGGTTTTATAGCTTGCGCTGAACATTTAGATAAAAGAAGGTTCAATAGCCTCACAATTCCTAGCCGAATTTCCTCTGATTCTTCTTCAGGCTCTCTCATTTTCGGAGCAATAAGAACTCTCTTTTTGCACAACTCTAGAGTGGCTGCAAGAGCAAAGCTTGTATCAGACGAATATGAAAAAGCGTCATATGTGAACTCCAGACATTGTTCTCGGCATTTTTCGACGCGGTCCTGACATATGCAGTTCAATAATATAGTGTGCGTATTTTGAAGGAAGTCTCGAGCAGTCTCAGGATCCTTGAGTTTTCCCATTCCGCATTCTCGTAAATTACCAATGGCAAGGCGCTTAGCTGTTCGGTCTATTGAATTTGGATTTTGAAGGACTAACAACGACGGTTGCAACGTCTACATTGGCGTCAATATTTTTTAATGACTTTAAACTACAAGACACTCAGGTCATATTGAATTGCTTACTTCCAAAAGGCTTTGCAAACTATCCGCCATGCTAAATCAAGTTGCTGGTGAATTTCGAATGCGAAAGAATGACTCAAAGGAAAGTTCAATTTTTTAAACTTTTTTTTTTTTAATTGTCCAGAACTGCAACCGTAACAAAAATTTCACAGGGTATGTAAATCATAAGCGTTCACTAGCTCGCCTTCGAAGAAGGCCACCGACCATATGTAAACCTATATTGTCTGAAACACCTTGCTTGCCTTGATAGGATTCATCCATATTTGCGTTTCCTTCCTCCAGATCCCGCTGTCGGTCAGGCAGTGGTATCAAGCCTTGTGGCTCTTCCGCCAAGTAGGTACCAGTATTTCTTCGACCAGCTTTTGTTTGTGATTCGACATCTGTCTCCTGGCTCCTTCTAGTAATACGATCCGTGTTTTCATATCGATAGTCGTCACCATATTGTATGCGTACCGTATCGTCTATCTTTACCCTGTTAACATCGCTCGGTGATCGCTTTAAATTGCTGTCAGAAATTGCAGTAGATTTTGAGGGTCCATGGGTCGACCTTCTTTTCAGTCCTTCTTGTCCTAAACTAGCGGTCGATCCGGAGAAACTTTCACCATGTCTATTGCGGTATCGAATAGAGTCCCTACCAGTATCATTTGCCCATTGGAGATTCCTCTCTACATCTGTCGCTGTTGATATTGCCTGCGGTGCGACATCTTCTGGTATGGCCCCAGCAATGGTTGGTGTTCGATGCTTAGGGCTGCTCGTGCTAGCTGATGATGAGGTGCTGCTAAACGTCTTCGATCGAGGTCGTAACTTTGAAGATGAGTTGAAATTGTCTTGTAGCCTCGAACTTGACATTACAGGCTGAGTTGTAGGAAGGATGGGGCCTTGCGAAGTCGCAGGCATGACCGTGTTCTCAATAGTAGCTAATGCGGTATCTGGTAAGACTGGCATTCGACGAATATTATCAGGCTGGTATGGACCAACGAACCGTTCCCCGGTAATAAATGGATGATTCTTTGCTTGCTGGGGAGACCATCGAACGATTGGGTCAAGCTTCAATACGCCTTGCAGAAAGTCGATCAAGGCTAAACGATTTTGTTTCTCTGTGCGTATTCCGTTAGACGTCTGCATTTGGAGAGCCAGTTGATCCAAATTGCACCTACCACGATCTTTTTCTTGATCACTCATTCCCTTACGTGGCAGTGCATACTCCATAATCAAGTCTTTCAACTTTGTAGTATGAAAGTACATTTTACCCGCCAGCTCTGTCTTTTTTTGTTCTCGACCATATGTCTCTCTTGATTTCAGAGCAAATCGCTTTTTAGGATCCCCCGTGGTATCACCTGTTCTTTCAAAAAAGCGCCGTGCGTTTTCTCCCTTCTCTATCATGTAATTGGAAGGTACCCTAATGTCGACAACCACCACTGTAAGCAAGTATGCACTAGACCACAACATGATATGATGAAAGTAACACTTACCCAAATGTATCGACAATACGGGATACCTGATTATACTCTGTACTTCCGGGAAACAATGGCAAGCCAAGAAAAAGTTCAGCAATGATACATCCAAATGACCACATATCAATTGCGGTGGTGTACTGCAATCCTAAAAGAACTTCAGGAGATCTATAGAACCGTGACTGAATGTAGGTGTAAATTTGCTTGGACTGGTGGCACGCTGATCCGAAATCAATAATCTTAATAGCCGGTGATTCCAAGCTACTCAGAATAAAGTGAATCACAAAAAAAAATTCATATGCATAAGTCACTGATGATATGAAACATTTTGTGGCCCCCAGGTTATGCCTTTCAACACCAAAACTTACTTTTTGAGCAGAATATTTTCTGGTTTGAGATCACAGTGTATGATGTGATTTTCTTTGAGTATGATTAATGCATCCAATAGTTGAGTGGCAAAGACTTTCACAAGGTTCGTTGAGAGGCCTTTGAACTGATTTTGTTTGATTAATTCGTATAAGTTGACTGATAGCAGCTCGAAGACTAGACATAGATGCTGTTTGTGAAAGAATGTATCGTAAAGTCGAAGCAAATGATGCTGATCGTCTGGATCACTTTTAGTATTCAGCTTGAGAAAAATTTTGTCAGCTATATTTGACCGCAATAAATCTATCCATGAAGCATCCTTACATGTTTGAGTATATCTACTTCCATTAAGCTTTGCTTTAGATAAGCAGGTTTGTTTTTAACCACCTTTACACCAACCAATTGCTTCGTCATCAAATTCTGGCATTTCACAACTTGGCCAAAGGTACCTGCTCCCAAAATATCCAATATTTGGTATCTAATATAGACATTGTACTTTTTAGTTCAAATAATGTAAAGGGCACGTGCTGCAAGTTTTGTATACCTTTGTCCTTCCTCTGCGCCAAGAATATCATTCACATACAAGATGTAATCGTGCTCTTCATTATCAAAGCCTTCATTCTTGGCCGGCTTACTTGGCTTGGTCAACACACGACGGGGATTCTTGCCGGGGTTATAATTGTAGGCTGGGTTGATAGCAGAGAAAGTTTCGCTAATTCGTAGAGTTAAGGCTTGGAGAGGCTACGTAGAACGGTGTAACGTTAGATCAACGAACAGACTATTACACATGGTGTTTAACTAAAATAAAAAAAAGTACCGTGACGTGATGTGGTGAAGTACTGCGCTTGGGTATCTGAGCTGCACCATCTTCGATTTTGCGAAACCCTGCGAGGGAAGTCTTGGGAAGAGCAGTGTCCTGTGAAGCAGTGTCCTCAAATTGAGTAGGCAAAATGCGAAGTCGAGGCTGTCTGATTTGATGTGGACTTAATGCAGAGCGTTGATTGGTGAATGCAGCAGGAGGCTGCGTATGTATTGAATAGTCCGATATCCTACGGTTGTGAGTCCTCGGTCGACCGGAGAATGTCTGTGAGTTTACAGCCATGTTCTGATTTGCTGGAAGAGAATGCCGGTGAGGAGTGAATGTAGCAACATTGGTTGCTGTCGGGGACGCTTCTATAGGTTGTGTTGAAGTATCCATCGAATCCATATTGAATCAAAGGATTGCGGAGGAAGGCTGAAATAGCGCTGCTTGAGTTTCCCTACATGATGATTTTTGATTTTGGTACTGTGAAATTTCTGTACGGCTAACTCCCTTCCTTCTCCCACGCTGACTGGGGACCATGACTCACCGGCAGATGTACTCCATTGCACGTCTCGTTAGACAAACAGCTGTACGGAATAGAATGCCAGCGACAGTTCGCTACTGGTCTAGCGCTCGGGAACCTCCTCCGCCCAACAACGTTTTACGCTTTGTGGAAGACTACTGGGATATTATATCCAACTATGTGCGAGAACCTGGTAAAGTGGCACGCACTCACCCAACGTAACCACAAAATGCACCATATATTGTAACTCACAAGTTTTTTCTACTAGGCTTCTTTTCTTTCAGCTCTACTACTTCCAAGCTGGCCATACGCGACACAGCATTTATGCAAAAGCTACTTAGTACGGTGATCTCCGAAGATACGTCTTCACCGGTGAAAGGAGACCTTATGCCAAGCGTTGTTGTAAAAGCCTGCTGTGAACTCTATGAAGGACTGGATCAAGTAGGTTGCTGGATGGTTAGGATTTCTTGATCGTGTCAAATTACTAAGGGCGTTGAATAGGAAGAGAAAATCAAGTTTTTTGAAATCCTTGTCCGTGATTTTGGTAAGCCTTTATAGAATTCACGCAATGTTTGGTAAACTGATATTCAATGATGGGATAATATTATACAGGTGTTGATCGAAAACAGACGGTCGCAGCGTCCGAAAACTACCTGAAACTAGCATCCTCCGCAAAAGCATCTGAAGTAACGTGTTATCCTTAGATGCACTACCCCAAACTAATTGTACAACTTACTAATTTGTTCTAACTCTAGTCCCAGCTATGGAGGACGGAATTGGCTTTAAAACATAGCCTAGATCCGCTTCACAGTACATTCTTTGATAGAGTCAATCAGTTACCGGGAGGAATGAAATTTCTTATAGACATGCGTGCAGATTTATTGGTGAGTATGGCCTTGATAAATGCAAAACGTGCGAATAAGCTAATTAAATTACATTTGTAGCAAACGATAGGTTCTTTCAAACATAAACAAGATGCCATTGGACATTTGATGGCTTTAGATGCTAGTATCAAAGCCAAACTACAGAATTGGCTATTTGGGTTCTTGAAGCTTGAGCGGATTACATGGCAGAGCCCTGCTGTAGTGCTAGAAAAGATTGGACAATATGAGGCGGTACATGCGGTCAAAGATTGGCAAGACATGAAGAGGTAAGCCTAAAGTTCAGCCCCCCATATTCGATTGTCTTCACACGTGTAATGACTGGTACTTTCCTATTGTGGATGGTAGACGAGTTGGCCCAAGAAGACGAGTTTTTGGATTTTTCTTCAACAATATGCCAACAGAGCCTCTCGTTTTTGTACAAGTTGCACTAGTGGATTCCATATCAACATCCATCCAGCGCATTCTTACGGAGGAAGACCTATCTATACATCAAGACGCTCAAAAAATTTCATGTGCGACGTTTTACTCTATTACAACTCAGCGTGGTCTGAGTGGAATCAATCTGGGGAACTTTCTAATCAAGCGAGTAGTGCGCGACTTAAAAAAGGAATTTCCACAGATTAAAACCTTCGCTACGCTTAGCCCAATACCAGGCTTCCGTGGATGGCTACGACACCAAGTTCAAGTCAATGAACACATCAGAAAAGAGCTTGAAAGCATATCTACAGTCGGATCTATCCAGGTACGTAGGATGAGGTTACAGATCTTTCTAAAGAAATTTTTTGATTTGACTAACCGTGAATACTCCACTTTGGCAAAAAGGAAATTGTTGACACTAACGATTGGATTCACGATAATGCAAAGTCATCAGCGATTAAGCCGGTTTTAATGCGCCTGTGTGCAGAGTACTTGCTTTCTGAGAGACGCGGCAATTTTGCTTTGGATCCAGTTGGTACGTTAATATGCCAACAAAACACTGTCACGTACAGTTGAAGAGTTCGTCCCTGTTGACCTTTACTTTCTATTCGTTTCTAGCAAACTTTCACTTGCGAAACGGAGCGTGCGCTCACCAGTTGAATTGGATGGCAGATACCTCAGGTAATATATAGCCGAACGATACATCATATTTCCATGTCGGTCACAGCAAAAGTAATCCCAAAATATTTTCAGACAAAGGTATTGCCGAATCATTCTCCATCATGGTCAACTACAACTACTTGCTGGATCACATAGAAGAAAATAATGAAGAATATCTTGCCAAAGGCATCATCACCGTGAGCAATGCTGGTAATGGAGATGATAACCAATGGCTTAGGGAGCGTGTTAGCGATAATGTTCGACTGGTCGCCGTGGAGAACTAGTGAACGGCCGATATCCTTAATTAGAGTGTACTTGTAGAAACACAGTTGGCAAATATACCTATGCCTTTTCATAAATTGACACTATTCATTATATGATTACGTGTGTGAATCTGCTTGTTTATAGAAGTTGGAAACATTGTTACTGTAAAATATTTCAACTAATATTTGGCATAGAGGTAACGAAAGCGAAGCAACAGAACTGAACGAGTTTCTGGTGTAGATAATAATATGATACATGTCATTTGGGGAAGTTCCATTACATTAGAGAAGGCTCCTCTGCCATACTCTTCTTAATCTTGAGAAGAATACTGGTTTTCCAATTGTCCAGTTTAGTCTTTTCATCAAAAGCATACACTTTTTGTGTGAACAGATCGACCTCATCGTTTTCGACACATTCAAGAATGTCCTATTAAATAGTATTATTAACTATGGGCCTTTCCGATATCCAAACTATTGCAAAACAGTGCTGATATAAATACCTGCAAAAACTCGTATTCTCGAGTGCTTTCAAAAGATACATCCATATTGCAATATTTCTCCAACGCTTGTTGAACTCGAACAGTATCCTATTATCTGTTAGACCACATCCATAAACATACAAACTGACATTGATAATCAAAAAAACGTACCCCTGTACAAAGTTGGCAAAGACCAGCCTTCAAGAAGTATTCCTTAACTGACCACTTCGTCAACTGGTTGTCCACTGAAGCAGCTGCAACGCTTTCAAACTTCTCAATAGCATTATCATACTGTCCAAGTACAGCAGCGAGGTGTGCAGCCTTGAGAGTACACTTGCTGACCATTCTGTAGAGGTAAAACAATAATAAACAAATATTAGGCCACGTAATTTTTGAAAGATAACCTGGAAGGCTACACATACGCTGGTGAATCATCTGCAAGATACAGTTGAGCGGCATTATCCCAGTTATCGAGAGCAGCAGGTAAGTCGACAAGATCATTTTCGTAAATCTCTGCTACTTCACTATGATGTTTAGCAGCGATTCTGAAATTTGCCATTTCTTTATCGATGTTTATAGCCTCCAGTAAAGCTCCCACGGCAGCTATATATGAAGATTTCAGGTTGGTAAGTTGGACCACACACAAGTTGCTAGAAAAGAGTAACCCTTCTTTCTTCCTCTCATCATACCTTCTGGCTTTGACTTCTTATAGCACTTTGAAGCGTTTTCGTAATCGCGAGAAGCTTCAAAACGTGAATCTGCGACTTTTTTATGGAGTTCTGCCGCCTTCATGAAAGTATCACCTGCATCAATCCCTGAAACGCCATAGAATCAGTGTTAGAGATATATCATTCTAGTTATTATCTTTTGTCCTTTCTGCATTCGTACAGTTGGTTGGATATAGTATAAACTTCAGTTGTCAAGGCTCCCTTGAAGGGACTAACAGCCGATTGCGATCTTAGTCTCCGAAGTCGTTCAATGACACTGCACAATACCCGGCAGAAAAGTAATCGGACAATACAGAAACAGTCGATTGGCGAGTTGAGGTTTGGACAATGGCATCGAAATCACACCCTTGCCGGAGAGGCTCCCAATTAACAGTAAATGGTTTACTTACATCTCTTTGCAAGTTTGAATGTGTTTCCGGCTTTGGCATAAAGCTCGGCAGCGTCTTCGTATTTGTTACCCCCTCCAAACCAGCCCCATCCGTTCAACTTCTTTTCAGCTTGCTGTATGTATTCTTGAGCTTGTTGTTCTGACATCGGCACTGAGGGAAAGGTGAGTGTTGAAAAGCAGTTATCAGAGGAGCCTGAAGCGGAAAAGCTGGTGACCGCATTGCTGTGATTTTCGTTGGTCGGACCTTCAACCTCCACAGCAGTAGTCTCGACCAAGCCGATATCATCATCAGGATTGAGCCCGAGGAGATAGTTTCGGTAACAAGATAACCGTAAAAAAAAATTGAAGATATGAAATAAGATTATAATGTATATTGATTGAGTTTGATTATTGTTAATATCTCTCTATTTGACTCATTACTGCGACTTTTTAGCCGGTGCTGCCGGTCTGGATGCAGATTGGGTATACAGAATTGTACCAATGAATACCAGAATTGAACCAAAAACGGCTCCCATATCAAATGCATTGTTAAAATACACGATAGATATCACCAACGATGTAAACTTTCGCAAATTAAGCACTAAATTTAGCGTCAGTGAGGTGGATATGGCTGTCATTCGATTAACCCCTGAAATGCAAACGTATCTGTGGACAATGTCTCCATTATTATATATTTTTGACAAAACTTTCATCATTTCCATGGTAACTTACTGGGTCAAAACGTCCATTATGAGATAATACCATAGTTTTGGCATCTGCAACGAAGCCAAAATGCTTGTAGGTATGATTGAGATCAAGTCATTGGCGAAAGGCAGTTTCTCAACCACCTGTAGCGGGGAAACCAAAGGTGATTGATTGTAAATCTGAACTTGATTCCAGATGTCCTTGTAAAAAAACAAAAAGATCGGAAGTGATAGTCCATGCTAAAGGAAATATGCCAGAATGAGAAACATATCTCCAGTTGCACGGTCCCCTTATTTCTGACATCCATCTTCAATACTTACAGTGTAAAATAGACCCTCCCTCCAAGCCTTTCCGTATTTGCGATAAGTAATCTCTTGCAGAAGACCCAAGCCAGCAGAAAGCACCATTGCAATCGACAAAATCAATATTCCCAAAGCAAAATTCGACGACGGCCCTGACTCTTTCTGCAAAATTTGTTGGCTCGTTGATTTGTATACTGTAGAACTATGGAAGGATGCTTACCTTGCTGTCAGACTTAGTTGAAGCGATGGTTGCCCAAACAACTCCTATTGTAACCAAGATGACTGCCGTCACCTGTCCGGTTGAATATCTGAATATCCGTCAGCAGAAGTGGTAAATCCGCTTGCGACTTTCAAACGAGATGAAACACGACATACCTTTTGCCAAGCAATAACCAGCCCAAAAACATGTTTACAATGAGGCCACCGCTCCGGAAGATGATATGCAACGGCATTGATATATTGTAGCCGAGAGCAATATTGTTCAAAGCCGAGACGACGTAAAATATAACGACCAAGATGAACCATCGCTGTATGGGTACAGCGCGAGGTTTTAATGATGGTAGAAAAGTTGGCCACCACCAGCATCCAGACGCGCTTGGCCATTGCACATGATGAAACAAGCCTTCGAAAGCAACAAAGATAAACTGACCGAGAGTGATTAATTGACCTGTAGTAATATTAGCAGTTAGAACAAGACGTTGCACAGACGCTAATTTCAAGGCATGCCAAATTGAGCATTCATATTGTCTCTGTGACGATATTGCTCAGGAACATACCACTTTTTGGCGCATCACTATAGAAAGGATCAAATCAGCATATCAAATAGTGTAGAAGATATATCGTTGAACGAAGTTTAAAGGAAATGTAAGTTACCCAACCAGGATTTCCAGCGCAAACACATTACTGCAGCAACCTCCAAAGATCAACGACAAGATCAGTATGTATTCATTGGCAAAGACTTGTAGTAGCGACTTGATGAAGGACGGCTGTAGAGATTTTGTCGTTTCTACGGACATTGGCTGGATGAACTTGTGAAAGGAATGGGTAGGGCTGATGTAAAGGTGGCAGCTCGGTTTTCAAGCTTTTGTCTTCCTTCGGCTTTCATTACGGGCGGACCAAAATTGGAAATGGCGGCCCTGCCTGAGCGAAATCTCCATCTGGTCAGCATCCAATCAGATAGGGCCATGCCTTTCCTTTGCCCTCAAGTATTCAGTCATAAACCTCTGTAATTTTTATTTTATTTTGATGAATTATTTAATGGATGGATGTGTGATCTGTTAGCTAACGGTAACTATATGCATTATGTGAAAAATCAAGAAGGGTATCATGGCGGACAGCAGTAAGCACTGGTGGTATCGGTGTATATGTCTTTCAGGCGTTCATCGTCAGGGACGGTGTCTTCATATTTCTGTATGGTGGTATGACTCCATAACAAAGATTTAAGCTGGGTCTCAGGAGTGCAACATTCTGAACCGTCACTGGCACTGGACGCCACCGAGCATACAGTATTTAAAGACGGTCCTAAAGAGTCTTTGCGGGAAGGGCCGTCAACCAGTGACGAGTCGTTAGTAGAGCGGTAGGTCACGTTTGGATCGGCATCAACCAGCTTGCCGTTGTTGGCAAGGTCAGAAGGAGATTCGTCTATATGTCCACTGAAATCGGAGTAACAGGAGCTCCAGCTGTCATCTGATCGAATACTACTGCAACGAGTAGCTGACACGGACTGATCAAAATTAGCCACTGTAGCAATAGACGGACGAGCTGACGCAGCTTTCTTGGAAAACTGAGAAGCTGGACGCTTGAACTGACTACAACCAATGATTTTGCTCCGTAGCTCTTGTATATTTAGACGAAGAGTTGGGTCTAATTTGAATATGCCTAAGAGAATATCGTTGACTTCATCGGATATAGGCAAAACTGTTTTCAAGAAGTCCGGCTTCTTGAGGAAAGCTACAAATGTTTGATCTCGAGCATTTGCCTGCTTCCAAGGGTTTCTTCCTACAATGAGGTTTATGAGAATAATTCCAAGAGACCATATATCGTTAGGCTTAGTAGCATACGACTTCGTATCAAACGAGCCTTGACACTCTAAACATCGGCAAAAGAAACGGTTCAATGAAAGTGAGTGAGATTGATAGATGATCATACGATTAAATCTCAAAAAATAAAAATGACACTTTACCTGGCGAAAGGTAAAAACTGCTACCACAGCCAAATTCATCGGTTTGCTCCTCCGAGGTGGCCAAGCCAAAATCGGCCAGCTTGCAAGTGGTTCCGTTGTCATATATTAAGATATTCTCAGGTTTGATGTCTCTATGCGCGATACCTTGGCTATGACAATAAGAAACAGCATCTATTATTTGTAGGAACATTGTCCTTATGCATTGCTCGCTGAGAGTAAAAGAGTGCTTGTCGGTTATCCATGAAAACAAATCGCACTGTCCAAGTTCCAAAGCTAACCATATTTCGGTTGCTGTTTCGATGACCTTCTCCAAAGTTACAATATGAGGATGTCGAGACAGTCTGGTGTGGAAGTTCACTTCTTTTATATGTTGATATCTTGTTTCTCTTTCTTTTGGTATACACTTGAGAGCGTGCCATGTACCATAGAATACGTGAACAGCTTTAAAGACACAGCCATATGCTCCTGAGCCGATGGGTTCTTTGATTCTGTATTGACCGACAATTGTATCATAGTAGTCTGCATACGTTGATTCGAAGCGATCAAGACCCATTGAACTGAATAGAAAAAAGAAGTTGAAGTGAAAGAAAGTGTAAGAGAAAGTATGGAAGGGGAATCGTGGGATAGTAGAATTGTATTTATATACTCTGCGAAGGGATACAAATATTGGGTCAGTACATGTAAGATGCACGCTTGGGACAATGGCTTTATTTGACGTAAGGAAAAAAAAAGTTCTCTTTTTGCTTTTTCAGGTACTACGCGCAGAGGTATACTAGGTGCAAACGAATGACCTGAACACAAAGCCTTCCCCAAAATTCAGCAAGGAAAAATTTGTTCAAGGTCGAGCTGACTGGGTGGCCACGGTGCATCGGGGATGTTTGCCCACGCAGGTGCAAGCAATCCGACTGGTGGAACGGCGATGAATTTGTTTAGGTATGAACCATGTCGATATAAACAAGCAAAAGCAATGATAGAACGAAGGTATAGAAACTGACCCATGTTCCAGACCTCCAACTTGCCTTGTTTGCTAGAGCTAACCCCATGAACACACCACCCATGATGTCCCGTGAGTGACCGCTTGAGAGTTACACCGGCCGGTCAGTGATGACCCACAAGAATGAGGATTTATTTATACAGAAATGTGATGTACGAATCGGAATAATTAAGGTGACGTTAAATTATTAACTTCCTCCTGTCTCGCTACACAAGTTGTGAAAGAGTTGATGGACAGCATGTGGGTATTGTATGGCGTCGGAGATTCAAATTATGCCAATGCGCTGATTTCCCCCCACGAGCTTTTCAGCTTTATCACTGGGATACTTCGTCACTGTCAAATCTACATGCCAACATGTCACAAAGAGAGCAGCGTTCAAGAAATAACCGCGAATCATCCAGTACATATACAATCATAACAACAGAAGACCCCGAAGACGATATTGTCAATAGAACTGTTCAATGGAGGATCAACAAAGCCGAAAATAATTTGGCTGATTCTGTGTGTTCTAACGCATCAACCTCATCCACCACTTCATCTTCATCGTCCACCATACTGGCTCCTAGGCCATCTACCTATACCGAAGCAACTAACGCAACTCAGGTTGTACAGGAGGAAGTCCTGTCTCTGCCACAACCCGTAATCACCACACCTCAACAGGACGAAGAGGAAGAAAAGCGTTGCTGGATATGCTTTGGCGAAGAGGAAGATTCTGAGGGCAAGTGGGTGAAGCCATGCAAATGCTCTCTAATTTGTCACGAGGAATGTCTTTTGAACTGGATCTCTGAAAATCAAAAGGGACAGCCTTTCCGTAGGGTAACGTACCGCTGACAAAAATAATCATCACCCGAGTCAAAAAATATACACATCCTCTAATAGCACGTTCAATAGGTCCTCTGTCCACAATGTGCGACTCCCTATCAGTTGGTAGAGAGAGTCAGTATACCATTGTATATACTATCGAAAGCAGACGCCGCAGTGCATATTGCTGCACCTTACATTACCGTCCTTGGCCTGACATGCTCCGTATTAATCTCTTCAACAACGTATGGAGCATATGCCGTGCTAACTCTGTTTGGGCCAAAACAGGGTGAACGGCTTTTAGGTCAGCCAGGCGTATGGACATGGAAAACCTGGGTGGGTCTCCCAATGATCCCAGTTGTTTTGATTGCCTCCAGATCTCGGTGGGCCGACGGTATTCTACCTTTTGTTGCAGTGCTGATGGTAAGAGCATCGGGCGGTCCACAGCAGATGCGTATCGGCTGGCCACCTAGTCCAGCTGTAACAGTTGGGTTTTTGCCTTGGTTTTAGTTAACCATTCCAGTCCCCCCCCCCCCCCCCCCGTTTTCTCCCACACCAAGGAAAAAAAAAACAAATCAGCATTGAACCAAGATAATTATTTTCTATTTACGCTAATTTTTCCTCACTCCCTATCGATTCCAACATTAGGCTGTTGTACAATAACATTTTCTCCATTGCCCGCCAATATCTTTCTCGCAAACTCGTCCGATCCAGAGATGGATCCAGAGCCAGAACCTTGGAGCAAATCCACGGCAGACCAAGACGACGGAGCTCATTTGAGTCAGAGGAGAGTGGCCACGAACCATACGATGATATTGAACCTGATATGTTGATCGGCCGAGACACTCGCGATGTTGGAATAACTGTTGTTGGCGCTTTGCTTTGGCCAGCAATAGGTAGTATGATTGGCAGGTGCGTACATTGTGGTGTGCGCTTTCCATGTGTGACCTGATGAATTTATATATGCTTTGCTCTGCTTGCAGTTGCCTTTATCACATGAAGGTAGTGCGTCGAATATTCCCTGAACCTTTTCATCGAAATGTACTTGGAGGCTGCCTCTTTGTTATTGCTAAGGTTAGTCACATCGCCATTTCTTTGGGTGGAAATATGCATAATCACGTTGTTCATGTTTGTGTTGCGAACAGGATATTGCAAATCTGATGTACCGATATGAAAAAGTGCGACAAAAGCAATCGCGACGAATCCAAGAATATCGATAGAACGAGTTACAGTTATTTTCTATTGACATTGTTTGATATTTTCAAGTTGGATCCTCTGTAAGATAATTAAACTGTACTGTATGTCACTCCTCCAGTACGCTCCTTCTCCAAAGTCAATTTGTCCAAAAATCAGAAAGAAAAAAAAAAAGAGCTTAACCCATTGGAAACTCAGATTGTAGAAGTTTCATGTAGATTATCAAATGAAAGCGAATAAAAGTAATCAAATGAAGAAGGGATAAAAGACGGCAAAAAAGTGCCTTTGTCCGTCAGTGGCTCGACTGGCGACGAAAAGCGTATACTGAACAAAGGCGCGTTCGTAATAAACCAGTCCTTGGGAGAACTGTAAACCATGTTCAGTTACTCGTACGACATATCAGCGAGATTGAAAGCGCGGTTCAGCAATAAATTAGGTCTTTGGCGGACAATGGAAGGCAACCTATTGCGCTTCAGGGTCCAAAATCTAAGGTTTCGCACTTGGCCGTGATGTTTTGTGATACAATTTGATCAAGGTCCGGTTAAAGGTAGGTGTATTTTTGTTCTTCTAGCTGTTATGTCTTCCGATTCTCTAGCCAAGCTTCTCACTGTTCTTTCAACAGAGCAGGCCAACCCCAAGTCTGCCAACATTGACAGCATTTCAACTCGCGAATTGCTTGAGATCATAAATGACGAAGATGCGTATGTCCCTGTTGCTGTCAGGAAGGAACTCAATTCTATTTCAAAGGCCATTGATCAAATATATCCACGCATGCTAGCAGGCGGAAGGCTCATCTATGTAGGCTGTGGTACCAGTGGACGCCTCGGAGTAGTGGATGCCTCAGAATGCCCACCAACTTACAGCACTGACCCAGATCAAGTTATCGGCTGGATGGCAGGAGGCGATGCTGCTATTCGTAAAGCTGCTGAAGGTGTAGAAGATTCGTTCGAGAAAGGAGACTATGACATGGAGCAATTCTCTCTCACCGAAAATGACACTCTGGTTGGTATTGCAGCATCGGGAAGAACACCATATGTTCTTGGATCCGTTGCGCATGCTAAGAAGCGCCATGCCCTGACGGTTGGAATTTCATTCAACAAAGGTATTGCACTAGAAGAAGCTGTGGATATTATGATTTCCCCTGTATGCGGCCCTGAGGTTGTAACTGGATCGACCAGAATGAAAGCAGGTACAGCCACGAAACTAGTACTTAATATGCTGTCAACTGGCGTTATGATTAGATTGGGGAAAACATTGGGTAATCTTATGGTGGATGTCAAAGCCTCAAATGAAAAACTCATCGCAAGATCGAGAAGAATAGTGAAAATGGCCGTTGGCTCTGAGGGTCATCTTCCGGGCAGCCAGGATATCATCGTCATGGATGATGCCAAAATCGATCAGCTGATGCAAGCATGCAATGGCCAAGTTAAATTATCCATTCTCGTCTGTATGACAGGACTCAGTGTTGCAGATGCCATTCTGTTACTCGAGAGAAATAATGGCGTTCTAAGGTCTGCGTTGCAAGAGCAGAAGCAATTGCAAGTATCCACTGCGAATGGTACAGAAGAGGAGAAGCCATTGGAATCCAAAGCCCGGTATATTGCAATCGATTGCGGGGGCACAAAGATGGCAGCTGTCAGCCTGGATGAAAGTGGAAACGTGGTTGGACAAAGCAATATTCCTTCCACCAATTTTGCTACTACACCATTATCTGTGTTTATTTCTAATATCGAGAAGGTCACCCGTCTGGCCTGCAATTCAGTTGGTAGCCTTCCCAATTTTGAAGCTATCTGGATAGGATCTGCCGGTTGTGATGCCATTGAATCTCAAAACCATCTCAAACAAGAATTGGCAAAGCTATTTAGCGTCATTGATGACTCCAAAATCAGAGTGACAAATGATGTCGACCTCTTAGCTTCTGGCCTTGGTGGCAAAGAAGGTGCTGTTCTCATTGCTGGCACAGGCTCCATCGCCATTCGATATGCTGATTCAGGAGAACGAATCAGACGGAGCGGAGGACTGGGCTATCTTGTCGGCGACGAAGGAAGTGGCTGGGACATTGGCCGAGCCGCAATTCAGCACACTGGTAGTGTCATCGATGAGCGATGCTCTCCAACTGAACTCAGCAAGCGAGTTTTAAGTGAACTTGGATGTACTGACCGAGTTCAGTTTATCAAATCGATTTATGATGGAGATGAATCAAGTCGCAAGGCTCGCATAGTCAAACTCGCTCAAATTGTACTAGCATGTGCTCAAGAAGGCGGTTGTACAACGTCATTGGAGATATTGACACACGCTGCGACAAACTTATCAAGAATTGCCCAATATGTCATACAGCAAGGAGATACACTAGTTCTCGGCGGGGGGCTTTTGACTGGCTCTTCGTTTTACCAGGAGAGTGTTATACAGACCCTGACCAAAGAAGGAATTTCATTAGATAAGCTGGTGGTGGTGGATAATGCTGCCATGTCTGCAGCGCTTTCTTTACTTTAATTTTTAACATACAATAAACCATCCATATATAGTTCAATGAATCCATTACCTAAAGCCATCCAATATTGAGAATGAAATGGAGTCATGATAGCATACCAATTGGCACCCCAAAAGGGCTCTGATTTGTCCATGTTCAGGCGTTTGAAACCTTGTTGACCGATCAGTCGGCTCTCATATCATTCACCGGGAATAGACCTAACTTAAAAAAATAAAATACTCAGTTGGTATAAAGCGGAAGTAGCAAATAAATTGGGTTTAAGGATTGTACTTTCTTTCTGGACCTTGATATTGCAAAAGTCACAGAATGAATCGATTCATGAAGGTGTACAGCCGGCCGATGACACAAGTTGCCATGGTCGGCTTCGTGGCTTTTTGCTTGCCAGGTTTATACAACACCATCACGGTATGTGGCGGCTCATTTTATATGTTGCAAATTGTAAAACATGCAAACTGACAACTTGGGTTTTTACCAGGGAATGGGTGCAGCAGGTATGGCCGTGCCTTTGATAAACGATGCATACACAACTAAAATATTCAGTACATAAATTTTTAACAAACACTTTACTTGGAAGGTATGGTTGATCCATCGGTTGCTGCCAATGCCAACGTCGCGCTCTATGTCGCGGGTATCTTTAGTTCCCTGTTTATTGCCCCGCTCACTTTCAAATACCTTGGAAACTACTCCATGTTTGTGGGTGGACTGACTTATCCCTTGTATATGGGCTCGCTTTGGGCATACGGTGTATGTTGTTTGTCGCTATGCTTTGATTCATGTGATGTCACACACACCAGCTGATTTTCCCCACCCCTTTAGCACATTCAATCCAGAGGCTTCTGTATTGCTGCTGGTGCACTATTAGGTATTGGTGCCCAAATGTTCTGGATTTGCCAAGGCTCTATCATGATTTCCTATCCTGTAGAGGCAGAAAAGGGAAAAGCCATTGCCATTTTTTGGGTCATCTTGTGAGTGAAAACACCTTTCAATTCTTATGAGCGGTCATGGAATAACGAATTGTAACACATACTTCAAAAGCAATCTTGGAGGATTCCTGGGAAGTATCATTAGTTTCGGGATCAATTTCAACTCTACTGCTGGGAAAGTGAGCGGTAAGTGGACCTGTAAAATAACTACAGTCGGAGACCCTTTTCTGACAATCAACCCAATTTGGCAGACTCAACCTACATCGCCTTCACTATTTTAATGATTGTCGGTGCATGCTTTGCTCTTCTCATGCTACCTAGGCACAAGGTTGTACGAAAGGATGGAAGTCGTGTTGCGATTGTTCACAAGGACGAAAAAAACATTTCTCTCAAAAGCTTGTTCGTGGACGCTCTCGCTATTTTCAAAGCCGGATTTGCCAACCCAAAATTGCTTGCCTTGATCCCATTTTTCTATTCCAGTAACTTTGTGTATTCATACCAGTTCGACGCAGTAAGTGTTCACTCATCTACATGAAACGTAACTAAGGTCATGTTCTAATGACGCTGTCAGGTCAACGGAGCACTTTTCAATGTGCGCACTAGAGGTTTGAACGGAGCTCTCTACTGGGGCAGTCAGATGTTAGGGTCCGTCATCTTTTCTCGTCTTTTGGATTCGAAGAGACTTTCCCGCCGCACAAGAGCCATTGCTGGTGTTTCTACTTTGTTTGTTTTCTTCAACATTGTCTGGATTGGTGCATTGATATCTCAGTTACAGTATGGAATATACAGCACTGGCGTAAGTTCCTAGCCTCTCATATTTGATTAATGCATACACATCGCAGCTTGTACTTATTATGTGTCAATATCCTGAACAGCTTCCAGCTGAAGATCGTTTGGATTTAACCAGTGGACCTCACTATGGTGGCGAGCTTGTCTTGTATATTTGCTTTGGTCTAGCTGATAGCATGTGGTATGTATACGCGTTGTAGTCGACAAAATTTAGAGTGCCAATTATTTATTCTTTTCAACAGGCAAACATTTATATATTGGGTCCTTGGAACACTTTCCAACGAACCTGCGACCTTGGGTGTGTATACCGGCTTTTTCAAAGCTTTTCAAAACGCCGGCGCCGCATCAGGCTGGAAGGTCGATGCTTCTCATGTTCCATACCTCCACTTTTTGATTGCCTGCTGGGTCCTCATCTTCATCTCTTTCCCTGGCGCCTACTGGGTTGCTTTTACCACCAAGGAAACCACGGGTTACAGCGAGGAAATTGAGCAAGATCAGCAGGATCGTATTGAGCATGACAAGCTTGGCAACGACGAGGTCACGGCCGCCGGTGAAGCCAATACAGCCGATGAGGACAAGAAAATTGATGATGTCAAGGAGGTAGAGCACGCAAATAAGGCGGACGCCGAGTCACAGGCTTAGCGTTTTTCTGCTGTGCAAATAATGACTTTCTTGTCTCTTTTCTTACTGCACCTTTTCCAATTAATAATTTTCATCGCCCCATTATTAAACGTAATCTAATTTGTTTTTACTACGTGGACTCATTTATCGATGGCTATACAATTCAGTCCACAGTGTGGAGTGAAGGTGCAACGTGGAATGTGTTTTAAAAGCAATTATATGATCAACGACATATTGCATCTTTCCGATATGTGTGACCACGTGAGGCACGGTGACCAAATGCGTCATGGACAAAGGGAATGCAATTGCGCTCTTGCTTTTGGTTAATTTGAAAACAAAACGATACCCATGCTACTTTTTATAATTTCAAGAAATGGTATCATACAAATTATGGGACGTAAGGCGTAAAATCACAATGATTTGAAAGAAACAAGTTACTCGGGGGGTGAATACGGATGTGGATGAGAGAATTACAGTGTGGCAATGTAATGTGAGAGCCTGCGCCATGTTTGCAAAGCTTTCCTTCCGGATCTAATCTTCGCCACCTAGGCCAAGCCTTCCTACGGAGAAATGACCATGCTTCCAGATGTCCTGATCGACGAGGTACAAGCCAAGACCGTCACCACCTGCTCGCTGCATCTGAGTTATGGCCTTGGCAAGCTCTTCAATAGATTGGACACGATGCTTCAAAGAATGTTTCCTAATTAAAACATAGTGATGGTTAAATCATCAATTTTCGAAAGGGCTGAAATATGATTTTCCTACTTTAAAATGTGGAAAAAATGGGGATCCGCTTGATCAATAGCAAGAGTTGTCAAATTCAGCGAAGCCTTATTCACATCCTTTTCCAAAGACAAACTTGATTCTGCAAAAAGGTCGAGCATTAGAAAGTTACTACGTAGTGCTCAAGATAGATAGAGATCAAATACCGATAGCATTCATAGCCGAGGTCCACTCCGTCTGAAGAAGTGTGGGGTAAACTTGTCAGCCGATAGGTCAATGAGAGATTTAAAAGTTCATTTTGTCCCTTAGGGACTCGACTTACGTTAGGTTCTGGAATCTGTTTGATCTCAACGCGACCACCACGAGTATTTTGATAATCAATTAAGTACTGTGCACTTTCTTGGTTTTCGTGGGCTTGCTCTCTGAAAAAACGTTCAAGGCCCTATTCAGAAGACAGTGTCAAAATGTGATCATGGGTAGCCGTGGCATGCATAAAATTGACTACGCCTACAGGGAGTGCGACATTATCTCTAGCAAAATACGCAGCTGCGGCCAAATACACCTGACTTGCGGTTTGTTCTATTTGAATTTGCTAGAAACGAATTTTAGACAGAATACGACACGTTATGTTACGCAGTATTTTGCTTAGCGACCAAAGTGCTGAGCGATTGACTTACACTGTTGATGCCATCTTCGGCTAATGTAGTAAAGTTTTGCTTTGCTAAGCTGTTCATTTTGACTTGCGTATGACACTACAATGGGCAGAAAAGACAATCCCTTTGCAATGCAATGTGAGGAAGGTGGTGAAATAAAAAAAAAAAATCACCCTGAAACACGCCTACAAAAATGTGATGCCATGCTGTTCTTTTCCACCTCCGCCGGAAACAAAGTGTCCCCCCCTATCCATTGACTCAAAAACATGCAAATATTAGCTATTCTGCAAATAATGAGCCTACCAGTACTTCGCTTACATTTTCTTTAAATGGCACCGAAAGGAAGGAAAGCTGAAGATTTCATAGTGAGTCATTTGACTCGGCCACCGCTCGATAGGAATGCTCAGTTTTGCTCATGTAAAAATAGTTACAAATGGCGAGCCACAGCTGGCATTAATTAGGTAGTGGCGAGCACGCGCCACACTGCCTGGCAACCAAGCAGCTCTCATTTCCGCAGCATCCTGCTCTTCATTTTATATAAAAACCAGGCTGAAACCGAGTTGGTTTTCACTCCATCAACTTTGAACGTTATATTCCTTTGGAAAGCTAACAAGACTTTCGATACAACAATCTAAAAAAACACTTCAAAACAAACTTATTATTCACAATGGCCAATACACGATGGGTGTACGCTTCTGGTTCGCATTGGGTCAATTTCGACCGGTCTACAAGCCAAGCGATTGAAAAACTGTTCTACGTTGGTGCCGCTGGTTGGGTCCATGTAAGAGCATTCGGCGGTCAAGTCTACGTCAATGCGCCAGCATGCTATGTATGCGCAAGCAATGGCTACCGCTTCACAATCGCTCGCATTATTGAATGAGAGGCTTCTATCAATTTAATTGGTTACTACTAAATAGCCAGCCGTCTAACATGTACTATAGTTCCATTTTATTACCTTTCTACCCTCCTTCCATTTGCACATAGATAAACACTGTATAATTGTTCGTCGTTTTAAATATAGACACCCCCTCTCATTCTAGCTCAACATACAAGCATCTTTTTTGAACGTAACTTGGAATATTCCACAGTTATTAATAAACCAACCAGCATAAACCAAAAATACATCATATGTGAGAAAGAAGTTTTAGTGCCTGCAATGACCACGACAATGATGAAAGGTACCGTGGATATAATGGACATGCAGTCGGATCGGACTTTTGGTACAGCCACGTCTTTGACGTAAGGAGACGTGGCTTGTGTGGTCAGGGCTTTTCCGGCAGTGGAAAACAGGATTTGGATAATGGTACTACTTGCTACGGTATCCACGAACAAGCGTCAAAAGCTTTTAATTATCATGGTTTTACCACTATGCATGACATCTTTTTCCATAAGCTGGAAACCATCATTAGTTATATCTTCTTTTTTTTTTTGGAAAGGCATAAAAAGGTAGCAGTACGCTGCATTTAAAATACAATACGCGACTGAGCGGACGGTGCCAAATCATTTCTCACAATATCATTGGACAATGTATGCTATAAGTCGGCTGTCTTATTGGCTGGTTGCTTCTAAGGACAACGAACGCTGACAGGCTGAACTGACTTCGGTAACAGTTGGTAAGCAATTGAACTCCCGCACAGCAAACTTTATTAGTCATCATGTGATGTCCTTCTGAAAACTGACATCCTTGTGTTTCTTATCAAGGAACCGATTGGGAATGACATGTTCCTAAAGTTGTTCAATGCTCTCTTTCATAAAATTAAAACAGAATTTCATGAAAAAGTGTAGGAAATGCTCTAGGGAGTAAGGAGGTTGACGACCTCCAGTGAAGACTTATGCATTCTTTGCTCTGATTGGCGGATGATCATTGTGAGACCGTGATTTTGAGACGACAGTGGGAACTAGAGTACTGAGCGTGATGGGCGGGCTTGGTATATAAAGCGGGCGCACATGCGTCAATTTTCGAACTGCTGCTGCATTTCTCCCTACTCTCTTTCTTCTCACTGTGAGTGTCAAAAATAAACATAGACGATACGCGAACTACTTGAAGAGACTTTGAATACTAATCTCCTTATCGCCTATTAGATGGCCTCATTCTTACGCGCCGCTCGTACCACTGCTGCTAGAAGATCCACTCTCCTCGTCGCCACTGCTAGCGTCGCCGCTGCTCCTCGCGCACGTATTGCCCCACAATTTGCTCGTGGTTATGCCACTGGCGAACAAAAGAAGGGCGGATCTGGAGGTCTTTTCCTAGGTAAGTAGGGGTAGTGGGTTTGTTGTCCGGGGTAAATTGGAAAACACCGAAAGCCAAATAATGGTCCGACTAACGAATTTGTCCCCATTAGGTCTCGCTGCTCTCGGTGCCGCTGGAGGTTATTACTACTACAGCACTACCCAAGATGTCAAGACCAAGCCTGCTGCTGCCAAGGAGACCAAGTCTTTGGACACCAAGCCCCTTGACTATGAGGAAGTGTATCAGGCTATTGCTGATATCTTGGAAGATAACGAGTAAGTGTATCAAACATGCGCAGGTCCGGGTGTACAATATTTGTGTCCCACAGTATTTAACTTAGTTGCATAGCTACGATGATGGTTCTCTCGGTCCCGTCTTTGTCCGTCTCGCTTGGCACGCAAGTGGCACCTACGATGTTGAAACCAAGACTGGTGGAAGCAATGGTGCTACTATGAGTAAGTTTGCTTTGAACTTTTTGTCGCTTACAAAAGCCTTTTAGCTTGGTTTTAAATGTAATTTATTGTGTCACAAAGGATTCGAACCCGAAGCCCTCCACGCTGCCAACAACGGCCTTGCTATTGCTCGTGACCGTTTGGAACCCATCAAGAAGAAGTTCCCTGAAATTTCATATGGTGACTTGTGGACTCTTGCTGGTGTTTGTGCTGTCCAAGAATTGGTAAGTGACCCTGACAACTTTAGCAGACTTCTTACCAACACCAACCAACTAACATGTGATCACGACTTTGTTCACTGATGTGATGCAATGCAGGGTGGACCTACTATCCCTTGGAGACCCGGTCGTCAAGATGTTGATGACGGCAAGTCCTGCACCCCTGATGGTCGCTTGCCCGATGCTGGACAAGGTGAACGTCACATCCGTGACATCTTCTACCGTATGGGCTTCGATGACCAAGAGATTGTTGCTTTGGCTGGTGCCCACTCTCTCGGCCGTTGCCACCCTGACCGCTCCGGATTCGAAGGTCCTTGGCAAGAGGCCCCCACTGTCTTCACTAACGAATACTACAAGGCTCTTCGTGACCGCAAGTGGGTAAAGAAGACTGTCAAGGCCAGTGGTGCACAACAATGGGTTGACAAGAAGAACCCTGATGTTATGATGCTTCCCGCTGAAATCGCCATGTACAATGACAAGGCTTTCAAGAAGTTCTTCAACGAATATGCTGACAGCGAAGAAAAATTCTTTACTGACTTTTCAAAGGTCTTCAACAAGCTTTTGGAATTGGGTGTTCCATTCAAAGGTGATGAGAGAGTTTATCACTTCAAGGCCACTACTGCTTAAAGCATAGCTTAGCATAGTGTGTGTACAGTATATACCTCTATCATTCTAAGAAAATAAAATTACAGAATATATGATTGATTCATTGGCATTCAATTTAATGAACATGGTTATGGCGTTGAGCTGGACCTTTCTCCAGTCGTACAGTGTAAACCCACCTAATATCGTTAGAATCCTGTAGTAAAACGACGTTTACAATGTATGCATCCTTTAAACAATTAACGCACTACATACCGGCTACAGTCCTATAAAGCTTGAGATCCCTTTGGTGCCTTTGATCGACAGTAGGATAAGTCTTACTGTACTACTCCAGCAGTCACAAGAGCGAACTGGGTAAAAATTTCTTGGGAGACCAGCTCCAGTAGGAAGCGCAACTTACTCTTAACTTGAGATTATGGCTGATTCTGACGATTATTCGGCGGTACCTCCTCCCCCATCGCTAAATGCAGGCAATCCCAACATCAATTTTAGTGATGCATTGTCGAAGGCGCGTGCAATTGCCGAGAAATTGAAGCAAAATAAGGATTCATCACCCTCAGCTAGCTCACCAACTAGTAAGTAACATGGCTATCTTGAAAGGCTGATTAATCACTCAACTCATAAAACCTTTATTCGTTAGCTGGCCAAAAGAGAGGATACGAAGATTCTTATCATAGTGGTGGCAGCGGTGGCTACGACAGACGCAGCTCACGAGACAATGACTACCACTATGACCGAGAGAGCAAGCGTGGTACATACGACAAATCACAATCCTGTAAGGATCCTCCTTGTATACGACTAAATCCTTTTTTTCCAATGCTTAACCTATATCATACAGACGATAGTCATAGCAGTGGTAGAGAACGATACGGACTTGGTAGTGACGAACGAAAACACTCTTCCTATGGTCCTCCTACTTCTCAACACGTGCGCAAAGAAGAATTCGGTGTCCCTAACAACGTTGTTGGTCTTGTCATCGGAAAGGGTGGCGAGAATCTCAAGAGGATAGAAGCAGCTTCTGGAGCAAGAATTCAGTTCGGCCCAGGTAGAGTCATTCTCCTCTCTTGTAACATTGCAGTACTTTCGCAAAGCCGACACCAACTAATACACTACTTTCCTTCTTAGATGAGGGTGAATCCGAAAGACGTTGCAACATTTCCGGCGAAGACGATCAAATCCAAGTCGCAAGAGATATGGTCATGCAGGTCGTTACCGATGCATCTGCCACGGATGCAAGACGAGGCGGCGGTGGTGGTGGTGGTGGAGCACATTCTGCCTACGGCTCTGGCGGTAATACAGTCACTGTGACCATTCCTGGAAACAAAGTTGGTCTCGTTATTGGTAGCGGTGGTGAAACCATTCGTTCCCTTGAAAGCCAAAGTGGGGCCAAGATTGCCATTACTCAGGAAAACCCTGGCGAACGATCCTATGAACGTACCATCAACATTACAGGAAATGAGGATGCCATTGCCCGTGCGAAGGCTCTTATTGATGATGTTGTGAACCCCAGTGGCGGATTTAGGGTAAGATTTCATGATGTGTCTAATTCGCTTTATACCTACTGTTAAACCAATTATGTTCCATACAGGGTGGGGATCGAGAGTACGGCGGTCAACCTCGCCAAGGTGGTGGTGGTTATGATGACTACCAGCGTCCTTATCGCACAGGCGCCAATGCATATGGATCACAAAACGACTCTCGAGGTGGAGGTTATCGCGGACCCGGCGGTTTCCGTGGCCAACCTGGTGACGAAAATGATTCCATTGACGTACCTCAATCGGCAGTTGGATTAATTATTGGAAAAGGTTTAAATATGTTCTGCTGCTCATGTTGACTGGAGTCTATCGTTAACGTATTGAATACATCAGGCGGTGAAACCATTCGAGGATTGGAACAAGAATCTGGAGCAAGAATTAAGGTTGATCAAGCAACAAGCAGCGCAGAAGAAAGAAAGGTTCTTCTGTTTGGTAAGTTAACAAAACACGGTTGCTGCAAATTTTTATATACTGCCTGCCCTCTGGTCAATCATATGGGCAGCAGTATAGATAATGTTGCGCAATTTGATACGATATGATCTACTGTCAACGCATTCGAGGCATGAACTTTTTTTTTTCTTTCTCTTTGCCTTCGCCCCATTGCATTGTCGCACATGATTAGGTTCCCCCGATGCTATTGCTCTCGCCAAACAGCTTATTCAGGACAAGGTTGCAGGAAATGTACATTATCGTCGTTTGCTTTGTGTTGGTTATGATTATGTGTGGTTTTTGGTCAAAGATGATGTCGCCGCCGTGAAGTATGGCGAAATGAAACAGAAACAGAAGAAAGTCGATTTCGCTTTTGTTGTATCTTCAACATGGTTTCTACAAGTTCGCAGCATCTTACGGCGATCCAGCATTATTCGGAGGTTTGGGTGACAAATGGGCCTAGTTATACTAACTTTGCATTTCTCGTCGCACATATATCTGGTTTCCACAATTTTGCTTTATGACTTGTTGATTGCATGTTGCCATTCGTTTGTACCTTGCCAAAAACTTTGCTTCACTTGTTTAGCGTGATGGTGGTCATGGTCGCTATGGTGGTGGTGGCGGGTAAGTGTACTAAATAATTTTTTTTTCCCATGAATGCTCTAGCCACTCACTCATCATTATTTCCTTCTCCTCTTATAGTGGCTACAACAACCGCGGGTACGACAGAGGCTACGGTGGACAATCTGGATACGGTGCCGATGCTGCAGCCAGTTCAGGTACTTCAGGTGCAGGTTATGACTATTCACAGTACTATGGCGGCGGTGGCTACTACAACCAAGGCTCAGGGGAAGCAGGAGAGAATGGCAAAGATGCTGCAGCATATGGTAAGATACTCTACTGTGAAAATCGATGAAACACAATGACTGACACCAACGACTAGCACAATACTACCAAGGATATCAATATCCTTATGGCAGCTATTCCCAATATCCACCCGCTCAAACCACAGAAGATTCAAGCAATCCTGATAAGGATGCACCCAAACCAGCTGGGGAGGGTGGCGATCAAGCTGACACTAGCAAAGGCGAAGGTCAAGCAGATGATCAAGCTGCTGCTGCTGCATACTATGCTCAGTACTATGGGCAACCCGGCCAACCCCAGGACAATCAATACTATCAACAGTATTATCAACAGCAGTATTACTCTCAATATCCCGGTTATGAATCTGCTGCCCCTCCTGCTGCTGCTTCCACTGAGCCTGAGACTGAACCCAAGGATGCCCCAGAAGCCAAAGAGTAAACTTACATTTTTGCAACAAATTGGCATTGAACGTAATTGCAGGTCCAACAAAAAAAGCATTGAAATATGGGCTGCCTTTATTTTCTAGTTTGTATTGAATTATAAAGATAAGAATAAAAAAAAAATACATCACTTTGTCCCGATTTTCGTAAAAAGTGCATTTCCTGCGTGGAGCCAATGGCTGGTTGCGCTTGCATGTTGGAGGGCAACTTCGGCAGAAGGTGATAACATCATGTCTCACGAAACTCAAATTTTTGCGTCACTAGTGCGCCATGGAAAAGATAGATGCAGCGCTAAATTTTTGACGGCTCCTTACCTCTTCTCCTTCCTTGCTTTATTTCTTGACAAATATGGAGTTACATGGTTCTTGCCACTGTGGAAAGACTTCGTTTGACGTGATATCTCAGACACCTGTACCCGTAAGTGATAAATACACGTACAGTGGATCGTGATATCGAACAAAGACTCTGATTAATAATGATACAACCTCTCCAGTTTATGCATTGCTACTGGTAACTAATGCGTTGGATGATGACCTGCTTCAAACATCGCTTACTGATAATATGAATTAGTTCTATCTGTCGAAAATGCCAAGGTGGTGGAGGATATGTTGTCAACATTATGGGGCTGGTGCGTACTCAACATCATTTCATCCGGAGTTAAACCTTTGGTTTTCGTCTGACTATTTTTGTGACTTCACAGTATAAAACACTGAAACTCCATGGAGAGGAATACATGAAGACGTACCAAGCTGTACTCGATAAGAGCGTTCCTGTCGAGCAGCAAGAATTATGGTAATGGATAGACCCGATTATTAATTGATATGTGTGACAAGAACTTGACCCGACCTGAACAATTTTATTTCCAACTACGTAGTGGCAACATTCGCTACTTTTGCGGTGAATGCGGTTCTCATCTATTTGCTTATGATAAACAATGGGCAGAGTGGTGTTATCCTTACGCCAGTGCTATTGACACCGACCTACCCGTTCCTAAACCTGAGGATATCCATCGCCTTATGTTAAACAAGAAGAGCAAATGCAACTGGGCCGACACACCTCCTGTCGACAATAAGCGCAACTTCTCTGAGTACCCCAATACTTCTTTAGAGGATTGGCACAAGAAGAATCATCAATTTATTGAACGAAAATAGCAACGACGGGAGTGAGGATAATTTGGAAGCAAGGGATGAATAGGATGAGGAAAAGAATGTATGTTGTGAAGACCATGATGTGCGTGGGGTTTACTGCATAGAAATCGAATGTGTACACGTAGTAATTGGGTATATGTTGAACGTAGTTTGGGAGGGATCCTAGCCGTAAGATGAGGATCCAAGGAATAAAAAGATAAAAAACCACAAACAGAGCCAGAAATGAATTATTACTTGAACAATGGTTTAGAGATCGTCATCGTTTTCTTCGCTTTGGCCATCATGGCTAGAATGATCTTGCGCTCCATGACCACTCACTCTTCGCCTTTTTGTTCGTGAAGTATCGGCACCTTCTGTCTTCATCATCCGCTTGAGCATTTTACTAGCTACAATTCTTCCTCTCAATTGATCACACGTAGCTCGCATCATTTCGTTGTCTCGTCGAAGTTCGTCGACTTTTCTATTAAGCAATGCATTCTCTTCTGTGAGATGCGATATAATATTTCTCATGTCTCCATGCTGCTGATTTTTCTTCTGTCGGTATTTAGCAGATGCAGCTTTATTCCTTTGTCGTCTCTCTTGCAATGACAGCGGGGGCGAAGAGCACACGGAAGAAGACATGCTTTCAGGAGAGGAGGCACTCAAAAGTGGCGGTGGAGACCTATCTAGCAAAGAATGAGTGGGCCGAAATGCAGAGTGCTTGGCCCGAGGTAACGAGATATTTGGAAAAGGTGGAGATGTAATGGAAGAAATTGCCATTGGCTTATGAGCAGACATATACTTGGAGTCAGCTTCCAAAGACTGAGACATATGGAGCATTGGAATGGTCATTCTGTAAACACTGAGGGGATACGTTTTGGATGCGCTTCTCTTGCTTGCTTATTATAAGTCTGTAAAGTGTCATTTCATATAGGACCAAGTATCATCTGCGACTAGGGATTTGATTTTCTTTCAACTCCTAACATTGACACGTCCGACTAATCCCGTGGTCCGAATCGTCCGAAAGGGAGGACTTATGGGGCCATATTGCAATGATAGAGGAATTGCGACTTGCCAAACCTCCATCTTTTTCGCCATTAAACCCACCACTTCAGCTGGGTTCAGTAGTGTTGGAAATAATAAATGGGAGCTACAGTTGAAGTTGAAGGCTAAAAAAGCCCATTTTTTAAAATAGCTCAAGGCTGTATATCAGTTGGTAGATCGCGAGAAGAAACACGTCCATTACTTCTGCTTGACCTCAGAAACGGTTGTATGTGATTTGATTAGCTTAAAGTTTTGTTTGGGATGATGGGTGGTGATTGCAGCATATTATTTTGCGGACCGGCAGATTTGATTGCTTTGATTTTTCTTTCGCCTTCTCTCTTGTTTACAAGTTTTATTACCAATGCCCCTATAAAACCGAAAATAAGCGTAAAATTTTGCCATCCTACCATTTAAACGATATCTATTGGTTCATCAAAATGAAGTCGTGGTCACTAGTACTCCTGAACGACCACCGCTGATGTAGGGCCACAGAAACACCGTACCGGACCCAACATATTCTAGTCCAGCTGATGCGTCGGTTACGCAAATCTTATGCCAGTATGCTTATGAAAAGGTCCATTTGAAAAGATATACAAAGCATTTTAGAATCAGTATTCATCATAATACACTAGCATTTTCGCTAGTGTGTCGCGAAGGAGTTGTTTACTGTCGTCACAAGCCAAGCCATATAAGCCAAATTGAAATTTTGACCGTTGGGTACTCAAAAACACAAATTTTTTCTTTTGCACAGCAAGCATCGTCAAAATGGATAGTCTGATACCAGTACTGAGGTCAGCCCACTCTCACACCACGCGATCATTTTCAGTCATTTAAACCTCTTTGGTCTCGTATCGTCACAGCTACCCCACATCTTCCCGACTGGTACTACGGCTGCAAAGTTCCATGAATGGTATTTACCGCACACCGGTGAACAAGGAAAAAAAAACCATATTTCACAAGCACAATACCCATGTGGGTTCACGCCCTATTGTACAATATTTGGGAGCGTTATGAGTCCTCAATTTCCACATCGAGATCAGCATACACCTTTATGTTGTACACGCTCGCACCGGAAATTATGCCCATTTGGATACCCTCACATTGGAACAGTTACACTAGCTAATTTTCATTATTATATAACGTCGCATGTAAGCCGAAGTTCGCTTTCTGAATCAGAAAACTCACTATGAAGCTAGCAATTGTTACTGTATCCTTGAGCGCCCTTGTGGCTTTCGCTGCCGCTGATACCTGCGCGTCTGCTTGGGGACAATGTGGAGGTAAAACCTTGCCAGATTGAAGTACTCTTTGTATAAAGGTATTCCTCGATCAGTTTTTTAAAGTGATATTTTCTTTTTTGTAGGTATTGGTTGGACAGGACCTACATGCTGTGCTTCAGGAAGTACTTGTGTCGCTCAATCTGGAAACCCTTACTACTCTCAATGTCTACCTGGAACTGCCAGCTCCTCTACTTCAACAACTACCAAGGCAACTACTACATCGTCAAGTTCAACTACTACCAAGTCGTCGACCACCACTACAACCACCACTACATCGTCAAGTCCAACTACTACCAATTCGTCGACCACCACTACAACCACAACCACTGCCTCTGGACCCTCCATCACTCCACTTCCAGGAGGTATATATTAACTGCAGATCATTCATAAATTTGAGTTTGAAATTTAACATCATCTTGGATAGGTCATAGTGGAAGTGGTTCCACAACTAGATACTGGTACGTACATTTTAATTAGAAAACAATAATTGAACTCATATCTTATTTTTTTTCTTTATTTTCATTACAGGGATTGCTGCAAGCCAAGCTGTGCTTGGACTGGAAAGGGTAGCGTTACAGCTCCCGTCAATAGCTGTGCTGCAGATGGTGTATCCGTACTAAGCAACGCTGCTAAAAGTGGTTGCGATGGAGGCAGTAAGCAAAAAATTGAACAATTTGGACATCATGATAAACCAGTGGCTAACTAATGTATTAAAGCGGCATATATGTGCAGCAACCAACAACCCTGGGCTATTAACGATAACCTCTCGTACGGTTTTGCTGCTGCTAACATTGCTGGTTTGACAGAAACAGACTGGTGCTGCACATGTTACGCATTGACTTTTACCTCTGGACCTGTTGCTGGCAAAACCCATGTTGTGCAAATTACCAACACTGGCGGTGATCTTAGCGGCAATCAATTCGATATAGAAATACCTGGTATGTAGCGGGTGCGTAGTCCATGGACAGATCGTGAGATACTTATTCGATTACATTGCGATACATAGGTGGTGGCGTTGGCATTTTCAATGGATGCTCTGCCCAATGGAATGCACCTTCCAACGGCTGGGGTGACCGATATGGTGGAGTGTCTTCAGCAGCTGACTGCTCAACTCTACCCTCAGCGCTCCAAGCAGGATGCCTGTGGAGATTCAACTGGTTCCAAAATGCCGATAACCCAAGTGTTACCTTCCAGCAAGTTCAATGCCCCTCTGCATTGACAGCCATTACAGGATGCTCCCGAACCGACTAAATGCTGTACGTCCATGTCCATAGTATAAAATTTAACAGGCTCAACTTTTTCTTGCTTTGAGATAATAAATGAACTATGCGCAACAATATCTTTATCTGATAAGCGATTTGGTCTCAGTCCATGAAGGCTCTAGCTTTCGTTACGTAATTTAAGTGTTTCCATGGTGTGTGGCGCCATTAATTTTAAAATAATAATCGTTTGGAGGATGTTACATGACCTAATCTGTCAATGAAGTGTGTGGCCTGAGGACCTGGGATCTGTCCACTGACTTTCAATTATCGTCTGTTCTGAGATGAAGTTAAGTCGGTCCAGATCCGTTGCCAGCAACTGGGAACCGCCTATTCCACACCACGTGTGAAGGGTACTATACTGCATCCTGCTTTACCGAGCAAGGCTACTACTATCAGCTTATGCGTTGATAATAGCAGGATTAGTCTGTCATAAAAAGTTCTCTCGTGTCTTTTCAGGCTTTGCTTGCAAAGCTAGTGCATCGGATTCCGCGGAAGGCAATGCATTTAACGGTGTTCCACGGACACCTATCAAATTAATCAACACAATGCAACGAACGTACGTATCTATTTGAACATGCATCATAGCAACCATGTGCATCGGATCGACATATAATTTAGCTTGTCCTTCATTGCGCATTGTCCAAACGGAAAATTTAGAGGCGTAAGGAAGTTTTGTGGCCCATGATGGCAGAGTAACTCAGATTATATTAGCAGTTGCACAGGCTTTTATGATATAAAGTAGTGGGAACTTACTCGATTGTAGGGCATTCTACTACACACCCATGAAAGCATCATTATTTGCACTGGCTTTGGCTTTCCTTGCCACCAGCGCTACAGCTAAAACCTGTTCGTCAGTGTATGGTCAATGTGGAGGTATGAGCTCACAAGAATATTAGATATTGGTGTAAACGCGCCACCACTCGGGCTCTCTCTTTTACGATATATTGATGATTTTTGTCATGTTCTGTTAGGCAAAGGATGGACCGGCCCTACATGCTGTGCTTCTGGAAGCTCATGCATAGCTCAGGCCGGTAATGTATATTACTCTCAGTGCCTTCCCAAGTCTAGCGGTAACCAGGATGCTGCTAAGACTACAACTAAGCATAAGACTACTACTACCACCAAGAAATCCACCCACAAGGCATCTACCACTACGAAAAAGACCACTAAGAAGTCTACTACTACTTCAAAAAAGGCCGTTACTACAAAGAAGTCAACCACCACAAAGAAGACAACCACCTCCTCCAAAAAGGCTACTGCTACATCCGCCGCCAAGGCATCTTCATCCTTGACTCCTGTCTCTGGAGGTAGGGACACATATTTTATCTTTGTTTATATCATAAACTATCTAACTCTTGATGTTAAATATTAACAGGAAAGTCTGGAACTGGCACCACCACGCGCTATTGGTAAGTTTACAATGATGTCCATCAAGTAGCTAAAATCCAAACTCAATACTAACTCTTTTTGGCTCGTAGGGATTGCTGCAAAGCCAGTTGTAGTTGGTCTGGTAAAGGAAGCGTTACTGCTCCAGTGAACAGCTGTGCTGCCAACGGAGTATCTGTATTGGGCCCTGATGTCACAAGTGGTTGCAACGGCGGCAGTACGTATCCACATTAATTCATGGCATCCCATATAACAAAATGCAACGACTAAATTATCCCATCTAGGTGCTTACATGTGCAATGATCAACAGCCTTGGGCAATCAACGACAACCTCGCATACGGTTTCGCTGCGGCTACCATTGCTGGTCTCACCGAGCAGGACTGGTGCTGCACATGTTACGCTCTGAAGTTCACTTCCACATCCATTGCTGGAAAGACTTTGGTTGTTCAGGTCACCAACACTGGTGGTGATTTGGGTAGTAACCAGTTCGATTTGCAGCTTCCTGGAGGTGGTGTTGGTATCTTCAACGGATGTCAATCACAATGGAACGCTCCTAGTCAAGGCTGGGGAGCTCAATACGGAGGTGTATCATCTCTTTCTGACTGCTCAAGCCTTCCCAGTGCTTTGCAACCCGGTTGTAAATTCAGGTGAGTTGAGTACCGCTTACATCTAAGCGAGCATATATCTCTGTTACTGACTAGGACACATGTAGATTTGGTTGGTTCGAGGGTGCAGATAATCCGTCTGTCTCCTTTGAGCAAGTTGTGTGTCCTGCTGAGCTTGTTGCTAAAACTGGCTGTGCCCGGAAGTAAACTATAGACTGGCTGAAATCTTTTGCGGGGTGGTGCTCATGCTTGACTCGAAAGATGTCTACGAGGTCGTCTACAGATAAAACTTTTTGGACTCCAACATTCAATTGCCGCTCATCCTTGTAATCACACAAAATAAACTTTCATTACCACTGTTCAGCTCAATAACAATGTTAAATTCCTCAGCCTGATGCCTGTATGTGAGTTGAAGACTTCATTCAAGTCCACCAATCATAGTTTGTAGATCACTCGCCGTATTTGTATGCTCTTCGCTTGTCATAATATTTCCATGGCCGTTTTAAGCTCAGTCTGGTGCAACCCTTTCAAGTAAAAGCCAGGAAACGTGGGTGAAATGATCAGCGCAACGCTGAAGACGATTGTATAAAAAATAGAATAGAGGAAATAAGTGTAGTTGAAATTAAGTGCTATATTGCTGCTCTACGGTCTTTCCATGCATGCGCTCAAATAAGGCGCACCGGTGTACAAATTTCAGCTTTCTCTCCGCCAGAAAGAGAGGACTGCAGGAACTTGAAGGCAAAACGTTCGTGTCTTCAAGGTAAGCAAACAGGTACGAAAGGCCATTGATATTGCAGTCAAGTTGACTCGATTAAAGAATGGATTTACACAATTTGAAGCTGATGCTTCGTTATCTGTGGCATCTGTACTACTGGATTGATAAAGAGCTCGATTTACGCATTGCTATATGGCAGCGGAGGATGAAGACGGATGGAAGCAAGAAGTGAGTTGACATCCATAAAATAACCAACAATAGACACATGGATTAAGGAATGGCGCCAAGGTAGTGAAAATGATTGCTCGTAGCTCTCTGACGTATATGGATTCGCGCTTCTCTCTTTCTGCTTGCAAATTTCATCGCCATGCGTTGATAATTTCGAACAAAGTAAAAGCCAAAAATTAAATATCAATGCTTAGCTTAGAAGAACTAGAGAACCCATACCATAGATTTTCATTTATATATTTTTTTCAGCCAATAAAAGCGAGGTTCAGAGAGCTATTACCCGTCCTCCGCTTCATTCGTCAAGCTTTAAGATAATTGTGCGCCACCAATCTCGTATTGGGTCGTAAGAGTCAACGGCTGTTGCCGGCTGTTTAAATAAACTACCTTTTTGCTGATATATCATCCCCCACTTTTTCTTTTTCCTCCTCTTACCGCAGACTTCTTTTTTCTATCATTTCATTGGAATGCCTGTCCCTGTACCGGCTCCTATAACATATACACCTGTACCGATTGTAGAGGCTAAAAATTTATCAGAATCCACATTCCGATTAAAGTATCGTTCCAGAAAACCTGTTGTCATTCGCGGTATCGTACCTAGCGACTTATGGTTCAAACAGGAAGACATCATCAAGAAACTGAAGACACCAACTGTCATGATTGCGCATGACAATGCCAATTTCATCGACAATGACAAATACGTCTCCAAGCGCTCCGCTGAAGACATTACCGTAGCAGATATAGCTCAGGCGAGCTCAAAGCAAAGATTATACCTTCGAAGCATCGTTCCAGAAGATGTAAAGGATGGACTAGGTCTCCCTCTTTTACAGGAAATCGCCAATGTCGGTTCTTTCAAAGACGACTTGATGCGACTATGGTTGTCGTCGGCAGGCTGTATTACACCTCTTCACTATGATCGATGTCACGGTACATTACTCCAGTTAGCAGGAACAAAGCGGTTTGTTATATTCTCTGGTGACGATACTCGTCAGTTATATCCGTGTGATGGGCTCAATGGGCCGACCCATGCCTCACGAGCTCGGTATATTGGACGGCATCTAGATACACAGCCCAGTACCATCTTGCAGCAATGGCCTAAACTGCGAGATACCGACCCTTGGCTTGTGGATTTGCAACCGGGTGATCTGTTATATACACCACCAGGGTAAGAAACAATGAAAAACTGTTAAACATGATTAAGCTGAGTGCTAAAGACACTATCACAGATTTTGGCATGAAGTTACGAGTACTAGTGTTTCGCTTAGCGTCACGGTACCATGGGACATGACTGCTCAAGAAATAGCCTGTGTACCAGCACACATGGCTTTTTAGAAGAATTTCAATGGGAACAGTCTGTTGTTTTCAGTTGGAAGGGGATTTATTGTACACCAGTGCCATCCAGACACCATTTTATTAATGCAAGTTATTGTGTCATGTAATTTACCAATGTTCATATGCAAAAAAGTACAGCTATTATTCTGTAAAATATCAAATCTTAATGTTAGCACAATTCATTTTACATATAATAAAACTATTCCTCTTTATACATACGGTTTGCTATGATGGAGCGAGAGCTCATCATACGAGAATGCCTATATCGTTCCGGCTGCGATGAATCACACGTATTAGTCATCTTGGCCATTGCCAAAGCTCTTTTTGCATCATGTTGAAAGCTCACCATGGGAGAATCGAGCTCAGGCTGATTGGAAGTATAACTTGATGAACTTTGTCGTCGACTATACTTTTCAGCGGCAGAAATGTTCGCATAGGACTGCCTTCGCATTTTTCGCTCACTCGCCCAGTCATCAACATTAGACTTTGAGACCGGCTCAAACTGTTACAGCTATTTAGTAATAAATCCAATTTTCCAATTTGTATCATCTCAGCGTATCATACCTCGCTTTTCCCTTGCTTTGAATATGTGTCACGACCATTTAACCCAACAATGTCTGAACTGTCAACCATGCTTAGTGGAGTTGGCGGCAAGGATATGTATGAGCTTCCCCTAGACTAAGCCATAGCGTAAGCGTTAATGTACAATCTGCATTTACCACATTACCGCTTATTATACTTACAGATACACTGGTATAATAGTCTTGGGATTGTTCCAGCTTGTTTGGGCTCCAGAGAATATCTTCTGCCTTCTTTGGTGCAATTGTGATCTTTTGCTCCATCGAAGCGGGTTTCCGTGGAATAGCCATACCGGGAGGCACTACGTAATCGGCCGTGGTAAACCTAGGACTTTTAGGTTCACTGGGTGTATGTCGTGGCTCGCTCATCTTTGATTTCTTTGCATTAAGTGATGATTTGGCCATTTCGCGGTGCTTCCTATGGTTCGCTTCCATTAGACCTCGTTGCATACTGGCTTGTTTCATTTTTCGAAGTGATGGTTGATTCTTTGCTTTCTCAATCAAGTTTTCCCAGTTCTTGTCTCCTAACTGGAAATCCTTCATGGCATCTTCGGCATAAAACCTTGGTATGTCAGTTGCAGTTGTCTTTTCTTCCGAATAGTTGATGGCAGCCGCAATATCTAGCATTTGAGATTTGAATTGCTCGGCCTGATGCCGAGTCAGTCATGTGTATTGAGTGAAGCAGGTACAATTACAAGAAATACTCACATCCAACTGGCCACTTCGTACTTCTCCAGCACCGATATGCGTTGTATGCTGGAAGTTAGTGGGCCGTCCAATCAAGCTTTTGGTGACCTTCTTCTTCTTCTTGATGGCTACCGAGGCATTCTTGTTGTTTCGTCGTCGGTTCCTTTTAGCTATGCTTGGAGTTTCTTTTTGCGCAAAAAAGTTGTTTGGTTTCGCCGAGTTTGGTTTGACGAGGACTGGAGCATCTCGACTACGCACACCTTTGCTGCGAAGGTCTTTGATGGGCTTGAAGAAAGAGTTCTTGGACTTTGATAATGAGGAGCCCATAGTACGTGAATAAGAAAAAAAGGGGTTGTTCTGCTCCTGATTAGCTTGGGCCCATGAAAATAAATGAGTGCGTTTTCTATAATTACCATATTTAGCCATCTCAAAACATGCCAAATCTGGTAATACTGAGGCTCATACAAACAACTTTTACATCATCAAGCGAGCGAATGCTGTCGTCAATACGTATTTCCGTCTTCTATTTCATGCAAGGTACCATTTGCTATCATGTGCTCCGAGCCAGCTTTTTTTTTCATGTACAGAGGATGAGCAGCGCAGTACAGACGGAGCGATCATTTTGGAATGGAAGACTGCGCCATAGAAACAAACTTCGGAATCCCGCAGTGGATTGTACGAGAGGATGATCGCTGACTCTCCTATTTGATAAGCGTTTGATTACTCTCAGTACCTAAAATCAAGTGTGTACTGACTGGATTTCGAAGAGTGAATTAGTTAGGAAGAAGTACACCAATGGTATGGATGGTGACAATAGTTTATGTCAAACTTGCGTTCCGTTAGCATAATCCTCGTTGTATACCATCCACGTCAAACAACTGTACTTGCGGGTCACGTATTCCAGCCACACCGCCAACATGGCGCAGTCTCTACTTCTGAGCCTTTTAAGTCGCGTAATCAATATGAAGTGCATATTCTATGACGTTGTTACTAGAATAACTTTTGTGAGCGCATTTTGGATGAAGCGGCCATTCTCGAGTTTCGAAATAGGACATTCTATTTCAAATTACTTCATACCTATTATCATAGAGAGCATGTAAATAAATTTTTGATATTATTACCAAAGCAATCAGGGCACCTATTGTCAGTCTCCCGAAGGAAAGGGACTTTAATGGCTGCAAATCTAAGCTACTCTAGAATATAATGCTTTCCTTCAAATGATTCATTCGTATTGATCTCCAATACCATATAATCGCTTCCTATCATCAAAGTTGATAAGAAAATCGCCCAAATTCAAGGGTTCAAATTTTAGCGCCTCTTCAAGTGTATGTGATTGGCCCATCCTCTATCCCCGGGTCGCTTCTCTATTTGAAGCATTCAATCCTTGAGCATTGCAAATCACAATCAATCATCTTCACCATGCGAGCCATCCTTCGATGGAGAACTCGGATATTGATTTTCCTGAGTACGCTTGCGATGTTCATCATGTTGCAAGGTTACATGGTGCCTCGCCCGGAAAGTATTTCCATTAGAGGTAATCTTGCAACAGCTCCCGAAGATCATTACAGCACTGGCACAAAGGCAGACATAGATACACAATTTCAAGCCGACATCATAGAAACTGTTCAACAGGAGCCAGAAGCGTTGCATAAGAGCTATCTCCTCGGATCGACAAGCTTCATATCGAGGCTACCCAGAATACAGCGGCAAATCACAAGCGAGACTGCCGGCCAAAAATTAGAGAGAGAGACTAGAAGAGAAGCGGTAAAAGATGGATTCAAGCATGCTTGGCGAGGATACAGTAAGTGAAGTACAATAGTGGAAAAAACACAACTCTATGTTGATCCATCGTTTGTATTTGCAGAACAATATGCAATGGGCCACGATGAACTGATGCCCGTAACGAACAAGCCAGTGGATCCATTTGGAGGTTGGGGAGCGACGGTCGCCGATGCCCTTTCGACCATGCTTGTGATGGAGCTTTTTGATGAGTTTGAAGACGCTACCCACACTATGTTCCTTCCCAACTTCTCAATCACTAACGACAAAGACATTTCGACTTTTGAAACCATCATTCGATATCTTGGAGGTTTCTTGAGCGCTTATGAATTATCTGGTGATGTGAGGATGCTTCAAAAAGCAGAGGAAGTTGGAAAGGTCGTCATTAAGGCGTTTGATACCCAGTCTGGTCTACCCTACCATCGCTGGGACATGGGAAAGTGAGTGGCAAACTAGCTGAATTCCTCCACAAAATCATTTACTAATCAAAGTTATAGAAACACTTTTAAGAACGCATGGGTTTCCTTTGCTGAAGTTGCATCTGTTCAAATGGAATTTACAACATTGACGAGGCATTCAGGAAATCCTATCTATGCTGAAAAAGTACGAAATAAGCCATGTTACACACTTTGTAGGGTATTGCTGTCAATGGAGGCTGACTTTTTCATTTATAGGCACAGAAGATCATAGATTTTGTTTCAAATGCTGGGGTAGCCGAAGGATTGCACATTCAAGGCTTGTATCCGTATACAATGGACGTCGTTACTGGAAAATTTACTAGCTGTGAGTTGTTCTTGGCTGATGCTGTCATTGTTTGCCATTGTGAAATATTGAACCTAACATCTCTTCTCCAGCAATATCATCATTTGGTGCGATGGGAGACAGTGCTTTTGAGGTGAGTACCTTTTACAATGGCTATAAACGCATAATCACGTATGACTGACACCATGTGCACCAGTATTTCCTCAAGCAATATTTGCTTACCGATGGACAGGATGAACAGTATGCTCGATTATGTGCGTATTCATACTTAGAACAAGAATTATGTGCTGTGGATTTTAAAAACTAATGGTACCTACTTATCATCAACCAACAGACAAGGAATCCATCACTGCAATGAAGAAACACATGCTTCGTCAAACCAGCAAAGCCAACCTTCTCTTTTTGCACCCATTCGATACAAAGGCTAAAATTGTTGCTAGTACCATGGATCATTTATCATGTTTTGTACCAGGTATGCTTGCTATCGGATCCAAGATTTTTGACGAGCCAGAGGATCTTTTGGTAGCAAAAGGACTGCTTGAGACTTGCGTTCACATGTACAGAACGAGCAAGACTGGACTCAGCCCAGAAAAATGGACGTTCCATGACGGTAAAGCGTGGAACCCTAAAACTTACGAACCTGACAACTACTGGAATACCGAGCAAAACAAAGTCAAAAATCAAAAGGAGCTCAATGACGCCGTCTCTGGTCTCGGCAATTCCATTGGTAAACAAGTCAGCGCACTTCTCGATCATTGGTCCAGCTCGTTCAATGCAAAGGAACAGTCTGATAACCGTCTAACTGGCATTTTCGTCAGCGATGGTTCTTATCTACTACGACCAGGTAAGTACGCGACACTCATTATCTAGTAAATAGATCAGCTTTCCTCATAAGTATGCCGAATTTATTTCTTAGAAACCGTCGAAAGTCTGTTTGTACTATATCGCATCACCGGCGATCGCAAATATCAGGACTACGGCTGGGATATATGGCAAGCCATTGAAGAATACTGCAAAACGCCGTCAGCCTATAGTGCCGTCAGAAATGTTAACTTTGATGCCACAGTTGCAAACTTGACTGATTATTCGTCAATTCAAATGGACAAAATGGAGAGGTAAGACCGTGGCTCATTGTGCTACTGTCTTGCTTCTATTTACTAAATTCAAACATCTCTTTATGCACAGCTTCTTCTTTGCGGAGACTTTAAAATACTTGTATCTCCTGTTCAGTCCTGACAACATTATCTCACTAGACAAGTTCGTTTTCAATACTGAAGCTCACCCGCTTCTGCGTAGGAATAGCCATCTTGATACCCATGTACTGAATCTTGACTTTGGCCATGCCAAGTAACCACCAGTACTGCCATAGACATATACTCTATATCTTAAACGTTCGCATTGACAGAGTGATTTGCACTAGTAGGTAGAACTGTTCTTTTGTACTTTTACAGATTGCAACGTATATCTTGCATATCATCCATCCAATATAAAGCAATTATTTATAGTCTGTACATGTAGTGGTATGAACGACAGAAGAAAAAGAGTCAAAGGCTTATAGAATGGATTACATATATTATCAGGTTTATATTTTCGATTGGATGTCTAACAGCTTGGGCATATAAGGAAGGGGAGTTACACTTTCAAACTGAGTTCGGTATCGATGGCTTGAAGGCGGGTCCTCATTGTCTCGACCTCCTTCAACTGGCTTTGCAAAGCTTGGATTTCCTTGTCCAGAGACATTTGCTGCTCCTTGGTACCAATGGTCTCTGTTTCCCAGGTTCCTTTTTCCCCATTCAAACGGAGCAAATGTCGGTGGTATTTAAATAGCGCAGGACGATGGGAAATGGTGATCAAAGCTAAGAAGAATGCAGGTTAGTATTCATGAATTTGTCCGAGGCAGGCTACGTATCGCTTGTGGATATCTCCAGTACTTACTGATACCAGTATCCTTTGCATGAGAGTACATGAGACCTTCCACATCAGTAGACACAGCACTAGTACATTCGTCCAAAACCGCAAACTTGGGTTGATGGTAGAACATGCGAGCCATACCCATCTATAAAGTGAGAGTTAAATATCATTTTTCTCTTTCCCTACACGCTCACTGCTACTTACCCTCTGTTTTTCGCCTCCAGAAAAGACATCCTTCCATTCTTTCTTAGTTTCCCATCCGCCTTCGCGATCTGGAATGTATGCCAGGTGAACAACTTCTAGAATCTCAAAAAGTTCTTTGTCCGTGCGTCCTTCGCGAAGCATGTCTTCATGCGAATGAGGATAGATGACTCTGTAACAACAACAGTGAATAAAGTGAGGAGGTACATATTTGTACGTAGGTAGAGGCTGCTACACTTACTGGTCACGAAGAGTACCAAGACTGAGGTATGGTCTTTGAGGGATATAAAAGATATCTTCTATGTCGGGTTTAGAGAGAGAACCAGCTGCAACGTACTGTTCAGACACAAACAACAGGCGATGGATAAGTGGTATAAAAACTTACAGAACAATGGCCATAAGCCAGCAATGACACGAGCAATGGCTGTCTTGCCAACACCGTTAGGGCCAGTGATTAGCAAATGTTCTCCGGGCTTAACTGTAATGTTAAGGTCCTTTACAAGAAGTTCACCACCACGGTCACTTCCTGGAGCAGGTGTGACGATAGGAGCATGCTCAAACTTGATACCATTGTAGTCTTCGTTGATCTTGCCCTTGATCTTATCCAAAGTATATTCACCTTCAGCGTCCTTGGCAGATTGGAACTCATCGCTGTGCAGTGAATGAAGAACGGAGAGTAGGTTGTAGACACGAGAAGTGTAACCAGCAAGTTCAGCGAGTTCCTTGTATGAATACATCATGCGACCTCCGGCATCAGAGAGCGAAATCATCAGTCTAACAACAGAAATCGAGAGATGTGAGTTTTGACTTTTCGACTCCATTCAGTGCACTATTTTAACCTAACCTTTTGTTGGTAATGAATCCCTTCGTTCGTCCACTCTCAGGGCTATCGCCATCCTTCAAGGGAACAACCGCGCCAGCCCATTCAGGAAGGAAGACAGGTATAGCGCACATACCAAGACCGAAGGCACTCCACACATACTTGATCAAGAAATCCTCAAACATATTGTATGTGATTCTGATCTTGTAAATAGAATTGATATGGCTTATGAGGCGTAAATACGTGCGATTCAATATAGAATGTTCGAGCTCTGCTCCATTATAAAAGGCGATTTCTTCTGCGTTGGTAATCAATCTGGTATGTGCTCCTCTGAAGTCACCCTCAAGCTTGGCTTCTATGGCGGCCAACTTTCCGAAAGAAGGAGTGACAGCGCGAAGCAGGCGGGCGGTAATGATGTAATTGACAAATAGACCCACCATACCAGCTGCACCAATGGATTTGGTAAGCTGGTAATTAAATATAACAGTATCTAACATAGGTTTGGCAAGATTAGAATAAAGAGATGCCAAGGTGTCACAGAACTTTGCGATATCGGTTGTGATGAACCTGGAAGAGAAAAAATGAGTTGAGTAAATGGCGTTGTTATTGGGTGCCAATGTGTGACAGTCGAACACAACTTACTGATCAGCACCCTGTATTCTGTTATCCAAGTTGATGATTCTATAAAATGCATTCTTATCGTCCAAGTAAAGATCATGGACATATCTTGTCAAGCGAGTTCTAAATCCAATGGACAGTTTTGATTGCAGGTAACGAATCTAGGGACAATACTTAGATCACATGAACATGGCTCATTTAGAAATATTGAGCTGCTTAGTTCGCCGCCGCTACTTACCATGCTATTTGTGTAAGTAGCTGGAATGGCAATGGCGAACCACTCCACCAGACTCAAGGCAAAGGCGCGACCGTTGGCGGCGACTAAATTTTTCACGATGCGACCATCAAGACGAGCTACCACGACACTCAACCACGTACGAAGAACCAAGAATATGGAGTGCAGGATAATGAGCAATGCTTCTTTGGTGCGGAATGTAGGCAAAATGATCTTGAAAATGGCTTTGAGCTGACGCAGGAACTCGTTATTGACGCCAACCTTTTGAACATTTTCCACTGGTTTGAAAAATTGCTTATGTTGGCGGATCGTTTCGAGCGTAGTTTGAGCCAACAAAGCTTTTGGAGGCTTCTGAAGTGATTGCTGAGAGAATGGTATAAGTACACGCTCTAGTGCTTGATTCTTGGAATGGAGGTGATGGTCTTTGCTGGTCTTTGGTTTCCGACTAGTGATGAGTAGAGTTGCTGCGAATGACAAAGCAGCTGCTCCAACAACTTGCGCCTTTCTTTGAGCTAGAAGGGACGCCACTGACTCTTGTAAAGGCTTTGAAAAGGTCTGCATGGGTGGTGCGATCGAGGAGCAAAAGAATAGACAGGCCAACGCTATCACATGGAGACAAAAGCGTCGAAAATTTCAAGGTCCGGTTATGTGTTTGACATGTGAAGTCATGTTCAAAGGATGACACAAGAAGTTTATGTAATAAGTGAAAAGAATTAAAGAACGTATTATGATGAATAGCTGACAAGACCACGCTCGAGGATTTGTTTCTCACTGATTCGACACATCAATGCATATCGTTTGCGTTGGTTGGTCTGATGTGAAGTTGGAATTAATTACAAGCAAAGCTCACGTGTGCAAAGAAAATCTATCGTCTTACCTCGGCTTTGAGCTTCTTTACGTCACCGTCAGCCTTGGGCTCACTGTATGCCTTTTGTCGGCTAAGTACGAGCTGTTGTAGAACTTGGTTGACATTGCGTTTAACGTTGGCAAAGATATCAACAGGCTTCTTCTTGTTGGACTTCTTATTTTTCTTGGCTGGTGATTTTGGCTTCTGTTCGCTGTCCGCTAATTCGGCAAAGTATCCCATAGCCATCTCGATGTTTTCTAAAAACTTGGAGAACATTTGTTCATCCACGAATACAATGTGTAGTAAAAGTTTGAGACTGTCCTCAAATGTGCCGTCATGAAGCAGGCGATAAGGGCGTGGGCGATATGGCTCTTCTTCTTCGTCGTCTTCTTCTTCTTCTTCGTCACCATGATCATGATCGCAACATCCTTCTCCTCCTTCGTGTTCATGGTCGTGTTCATGATCATGTCCATGATCGTGTCCATGATCGTGTCCATGACTGTGTCCATGGTCGTGACTTTCTCCATGTTCGTCGCCACTACCGTGGTCGTGGCCGCATCCACATCCATCTCCTTCGTGGCCGTCTTCAGGCATATCTTCGCTGTCTTCATCAGGAATAAAAGTGCTCTCGTTCATGATGAAAAACTCCCAGCGCATACGAACGTAGTTGATGACTTCTTCTTCAGTGGCTTTGATTCCCTTCTCCTTCAACACCTTGGTCAAAAGGTCGACGCAGTTATCTATCACCATATCTTCATCGACTGTGACAAAGTCATTGGCATTGTTTTCTTCACAAAAGCCATACTTGCTGAGCAGAACGACGTTGGGATGTTCGCCGTATGTGTTAAAAAGTTCTTCTCCCTTCTTGGCAGATCGGTCCATAACCAAGTCGCAAGTGTCTTTTTCAGGTTCTTCATTGTCGTCTGAATAAAAGTCAACGCCTTCTTTCTCCAGAGTTTCTAAATCTTGTAATTCCTGGTCGGACTCTTCACCATCATCATCTTCCTCTTCTTCTTCGTCCTCCTCTCCTTCGCTTTCTTCAATATCCTCTTCAGCATCTTCATCTACATCATCCCAACCATCGTCTTCATCATCCGATTCATCACCGTTGAGGAAACGATGTTCACAGTATTCCAAGGCACCACAAGCATCGCAAACGTCGAAATCGGTTTCAAAATGAACGTGCTCGTCGCCGCTTCTATGATTAAAGATGTCGGCAAATGGTACCATAGCATTTTCATGGTATGCGTCGACTTCGAATGCACGTGATGATACTAATGTGGATATCTTGCAGAATGAATCAAAGTCGTAATGTTTCTCTACGTGATCTTTGGGAAAGATGTAGGGGTACTTTTCAAACAAGGGCTTTACAATATTATCATAGTCGTCCCGGAGATCATCCTACTCATCAAAATTAATAACCTTTCGGGGCAGGGCAAGACGAGCAACATCAGCCATTCATACACACCTTGTCATGCTTCAAAGCTTCTTCCATTTCAGTTCCCTGGAGGAGAGCTTGTTCATCTTCGGACCAGAACACTGGCAAATCCTCCTTGAATGGCAAAGCTTGAAGGTAACCGTACCATGGACTGTCCTCGCCTTGAGCGATCTCATACATGACAGCAAGGGCCAACGAGCAACCACCTTCAATGTGTTCGTCTTCAAAAACATTCGCTATGCCTGTTGTCTTGGGTGATAAAACGCACAGTTTGGGTATTTTTACAACTATAAGAGCAATGTCAATGACTGTCATTAATGTGATGCTGTTGATTCCTAAAGTGTCAACCTACCGGGAAGACCTTCCTCGATATTAGTCTTTGCAAATACTCCAAGAGAATTTTTGACGTCTTTGACTTGGATCAAATCCTTTGTCCATTCAATGTCATTGTCGTCGAACCACTTCAAAAGGATATCAAGTTTGCTTTGTGCTGGCATTTGACGGAACTGAATGGGTGTGCACACTAGGTTGAGACTCACTCACCATGAAAAATTTCGAAAAAATAAAAATTTTGACTGCCGCTCGCTATGTCCCCAGTCACAGCGCTTTCCACGATGACAGGGTCCAAATGCAAGCTCAGTGACTACATCGACAAACGTTTATATTGATTGTTATGAAAAAATAAATGGAAACAGAAGTATAAATGGAAATGTGTGAATTATGATACAATGCAATTCATGTATGAGATGGGTGGTGAGACAAATTAAAAGAGTGGTTTGTTATATACAATAAGAAAAGAATTAGAATGCAGACTAGTAGAGAAAAGTGCGATCTGCATTAAGCCACTTGTTCTTGTCCGTCAACCATTTCCCAATTGTCTTCAATGGGTGATTGGGTCGTTGAGCATCGGATGATGATGATGAAAGAGCCGGTGGAGCTGAAACAGGTCTGGACCGAGATTGCTTCGAAACCTGTTCTGATCTCTCTGGTGATTTTCCGCGAACAACAGTATTGCGAAGGGTCTTCACCGCCCTCTTGGTAGGCGAGGGAGGCGTTTCGGGAATGAATTGTTCTGTTGAGTCATCCACAGCATCGACTGAGTCGGAGTCTGATGATGATGGCGTGGTGATGTACTCGGGACTTTCATTGAATGACACAATCCTATCGTTCATTTTAGGTTTTCTTCGCAAGCTAACATCTGACAAAGATGGCATGCTTAGTCTTGCATTAGCTGCCGTATTACGTATCAATTCCACCATCTCAGCATCCATAGCGTCGGACGAGATCGGTGCTACTGCGGGCAACTTATTCAATTTGGACTTCAAAGCTGGCGTTTGCGCGATACTATGAGCGTTTTCACGACCATACGATATCATATAGTCGTCTTCAGCAATGATCGTACGAGAATCACTGCGGTGATGACGAGATTGCGGACGATTCATAGGCGGTGGTGGCGTATGATAGAGTTTATAAAGACTATGGACGGCAGAGTCCAACTGCGATTCGTTACCAACGGCGCTGAGGGAAGAAGGCGCAGACAGCACGTTAACAGACATTGCCGTCACGATATGGTATAAGGATGAAGAGAAGAGCGAAACAAGAGTGAAGAAGAGAGCTAAAAATGATAGGCAAACCAATTTATGACAAATTTTTTGGCCTAAAAAAAAAAAAAAAAATTGTGAAACAAGCACCGGCATTCTGTCATAAGAACGACACCAACCTTTCACGAGTTCTCATATGGTCAATAGCTATTAGACTGATTATTATTACAATTACAATTATAGTCTATTAAATAGCTTGTTGGCTTTGTCTTTATTTTCCAGTGGCAAGGCTCGTTTGGTGACGATTTGTGTGTTTGGAAGATCTGTTTCGGACTTTTAACACGGGGGGATCGGCACCATCACCTGCTTTGTGACGGGAGGGAGGCTGAATCCAACACCTACTTCTGGTTGAAGCGCTATCTCCGGCATAAACGATCGAACCCTAGCAACTGGCCGATATCAATCAACAGACCAGCAACAGTATAAAATATTACTAGTACTCATGCTGTTTTGTGGAAAAAGGTTAGGGATTTCCGTATGGGAAAATAAGTGGCATGATACAAGCCGTTCTAGCAGCGTGAGCATCCGCGACGCATCATTTGACGTCCACGTTATCGATGGGTTCAACATGCTAATCATGTCTTTCGGGCTTACCCCACGATTCCATAGATTAGCAGACTGCTTGTTGTCGCAGCTGGCAGATTTCTACTCCTTCCCATCGTGTTGAAAGGCGGGAAACAATTACCATCTGCAATGAAGCGTCTGCCATAGGGCTGTTTTACGGAAAAATATTCCCAAACAAATAGTATACGATAGCCCAGACCGTAGGGTTTCACCTTCGCACAAACGAAATTAAAAAACATAAGGACCTTGAACTTAGCGATATGAAATATGATTACCGTTGTGCAAACACGGTTAGACGTTACATCATGTCCAGGATCTTGATGTTCGTTTAGAAGCTGTGATAAGAGGAAAATGCTCCTCCCGTCTAAATAACACAAAATCCAGGCACCCGTACAGAAATTGAGCTCCCATGACCACACAAGCCTGGAGCATTGAAATTTTTTTTATCGCCCGTGAAACCCTGTCACGGCTTACCAGCCTGTCAGCCGCAATTCCAGCCACATCAAATCCTCTACTCTCAGCTCAGACCAATCTGTTCATGACACATCGCCGAGGTCGAACAGCTCGATTGAGGCAATGCAATGGATCAAAGGAAGACAACTTTGATCACGGGAAAGGTTATTGCGTACAGACAGTGCCGCTGATCATGTACAATTTCCATGAGCTGACTGAATCCTGTCAATTGCAGTTATACATGACACCAACTTTGAAGAGTTTCGACATTGGCTGCGTGAGAGAGGATACCCAAAGTCAAAGATCACATTAGCAGAATTCAAAGGTTAGAGATAGCTGCATGATACTAGCATTTTTCATAAATAATTAAATAGAAACATGCATGCTAACCTGCGTAAAATTGTCATTGTATATTCCACCTGCAGAGACTGGCCGAGGTAAATT